CATAAACACATGTAATCAACCCTGTAAAGTAAACAGCAGCATTTAGAACACCATTTTAGAGCCGGGCAAGCACACACAGACCACACAAAGCCGGGCAAGTAAAAAACCTTTTTTTTTTTAAAGTATATATGTAGGCTATACTGTATTTGGACCATAAGACGCAGGGACTTTTCCCCCCCACTTCTGGGGGGGAAAAAGTGCGTCTTATGGTCCGAAAAATACGGTAGTTATAGAGGTTGATTATAGGAATAGTTTTTTAAAAATTGTTTGGCTCTTTCCTTAAACTTGGCAATTGATTATTCTTACTATTTATTTTGATTAACAGGCTGCTTTTGTCCATAGCTGAAGTTTTATTTACTTTTACTTAACCATAAAACTAATATGTGTTCTGTAAAATTCAGATAATATAAAAACATATGAAGTAACTAAAAGTTCTTGCCTCTCCTCTCTCCTGATGGTTAATTTTGGATTGTGTTCTGCAGAGGATAAAGTGAGTGAAAAAGGAAAGTTTATGTTAGACACAATTACTGCAATTTTTATTAGTTATTCCATACCCCAAAGGCTAATAAAATAGTGTGTAGTTTAATAGTGAATTAAAGTTTATTTGGCCACTATACATTAATACCATAAACATGATTTTGTTTTAAATTTGATGTGAATCTAGTTTTTAGGCTGTTTCCAAGTAGGACATTAATAAAAGGTAAAATAACATGGTTCCTATCATGCAGGTAAATTAGTTCTAGATGAAAGAGAACAAATTTTAGTTTTCATTGAACTATTAAAAATAGCAGGCTCTTTTTAAAAAAATATTTCTTTTTTATTTAGAGAAGAAGAGAGAGAGAAAAATCAATGATGAGAATCATTAATTGGCTGCCTCCTGTATATCCCACACTGGGGATTGAGCCTGCAACCCTTGACTGGAATCAAACCCAGGACCCTTCAGTCCACAGGCTGATGCTCTATCCACTGAGCCAAACTGGCTAGACCCTTAAAGGTATACTTATAACTGATAGTAGAAAATTTGTATTTTTGGGCTAGTGTTTGATTAGATGACTAGACATTATTTATAGTCATCTTCTGTTTTATTTTTGTCTTTTTTGTGTTGTTTCATTATAATAAACTAGAGGCCCGATGCACAAAATTTGTGCAAGGGCTCAGCCCTCACAGTCCCAGCTGCCTCATACGGCCCTAACAGCCCTGGCTTTGTCTGGACAGTCATTCTGTTGTTGGTCTAATTAGCATATCAGCTCTTTATTATATATGATTATTATATAGGATTTATTGTAAGGGAGAGGGAGAGAGAGAGAGAAACATCAATGATGAGAATCATTGATTGGCTGCCTTGTACACACACACACACACACATACACACACACACACTGGGGATTGAGCCACACCCCAGGTATGTGCCCTGTCTGAGAATTGAACCGTGACCTCCTGGTTCATAAGGTGATGCTCAACACTGAGCCACACTGGCTGGACTATCTTTTCTTGGTGTATCTTTTCAAAGGGTGGAAATGGCTGCCTCCTGTAAATCCCACACTGGGGATTGAGCCTATAACCCTTGACTGGAATCGAACTCAGGACCCTTCAGTCCACAAGCTGATGGTCTATCCACTGGGTGGAATTTTGAAAGTTGTGTTAATGCCCGTCAACTTTCTCTTGTAAAATATTCACTGACCTGTGAATTATGTCTAATAATCCAAATTTTATTGCATAAAATAAGAAAAAGAATTCTCATTTAATCCAAAAAGTTATAGTTGTGACTATATTGCAAATGTGCCAATGCTATTTGCTTACAACCTTGACCTACTTTACCTACCTAGAAATCACTTGTGTTATGGCAGGTGAGCTGAATGAACTTGTAAGGGTGTTAAGTCATTGAACAAACCTTTTCATTAAAAAAATGTTTTATCGCCGAGACCGGTTTGGCTCAATGGATAGAGCGTCGGCTTGGGAACTGAAGGGACCTGGGTTCGATTCCGGTCAAGGGCATGTACCTTGGTTGCGGGCATATCCCCAGTAGGGGGTGTGCAAGAGGCAGCTGATCGATGACTCTCTCATCGATGTTTCTAGCTTTCTATCTCTCTCCCTTCCTCTCTGTACAAAATCAATAAAATATATATTTAATAAAAAAAAATGTTTTCTCCCCTCAACATCTTTTCTGGTTATAAAAGTAACACAGGCTTGCCGAAACCGGTTTGGCTCAGTGGTAGAGTGTCGGTCTGCGGACTGATAGGTCCCAGGTTCGATTCCGGTCAGTGGCATGTATGTTGGTTGCGGGCACATCCTCGGCAGGGGGTGTGCAAGAGGCAGCTGGTCGATGTTTCTCTCTCATTGATGTTTCTAGCTCTCTATATCTCTCCCTTCCTCTCTGTAAAAAATCAATAAAATATATTTTAAAAAAATAAAAGTAACACAGGCTTACTGCAGACTGTTAAAAAATATAAAGAAAAATATTAATCAATTATAATACTATAACTTAGAAGTGTCATTTTCCCCCAAATGTTTTATGTGTGTACATAATATTTTTTAAAAAATGGTTATTTAAAATGTCCCAATACAAGAAACATTCTCTTGGTGTGTATATTCAATAAAGGAAAGAAGTTTGTGGGTTTGACTTTGTTTGCCTTTCACCATGCCTCTTGTCACGTTAGTAATGGTTTGGGAGAGAACAAAATACTGTTGACCTTTGAACCAATGGCACAGTATGAAATCTGCATATAACTTAAGTGGATCCTCTGCGTATGCAAATTCTCAGCTGTTGACCCATGGACAATGTGGATTTAAAAAACCCATGTAAAAATGGACCTGTGCAGTTCAAACCTGTGTTAACTAGAGTCTTGTGTAGGTAATGATGCTACCTTGGGCAACATCTGTGGCTCAAGGCTGTCCTTTATTGTAACAGGCTCCAGTACAGCTGATTCGAGGGATGTTAATTGAATGTCTGCTGGATGCCTGGCACTGTGCTGAGGGAGAGTGACAAATTCAGAGCATCTGTTGTGTTGAAATTTCTGTTAAAAACTAAGTAATTATAGTGGTATCAATGGTGCGATTATTCTTGCTAACCGAAATGTAAATTCTTTTTTAAAAAATACGTTTTTATTGATTTCAGAGAGAGTAAGGGAGAGAGAGAGAGAGAGAGAAACATCAGTGTTGAGAGAGAATCATTAATTGGCAGCCTTCTGCACAGCCCACACTGGGCATCAGTTCTACAACCTGGGCATGTATCCTGGCAGGGAATCGAATTGTGACCTTTTGGTTCATAGGTAGACCCTCAACCACTGAGCCTCGCCAGCCAGGTCTGAAATGTAGAACGCGTACCTACTCATTGCTGATGGTCAGCATTCTTAAGAATCTAATTAAAAAGGAAGCTATCAGTAATGCTAAAGTGAGTCAGAAACTGTACTGCCCAATAAAAGTTGTATAGTATTATGTATTAATGTTTTATTAAGGGTAAAGTTTTACAATCATTAGCTCTCCCCCCCTTTTTTTATTAGAACATCAAATTGAAAAGGCTATTATTTAGTTCATCCTGTGCTTCAATTCCATTCTTAATTACTTGTTTAAAAGCTGCTTATTTCTTTTTGTGAACTTTATTTTGCTACTGATTAGAGCACTTTGGATTCCCCCCTTCCCTTTCCTTGAGGTATAATTAAGGACAATAAGTGTACTTTGGTAACTTGGTATAACCAAAAAGATGTTTTAAGTAACACATATTACAGTTAAGACTGGGTAATAATGAAGATTCAAAAAGATAATTACTGTTAAAAGTTTCACATCTTGCTTACATGTAAATATGATAATTGTAATCTAAATTTAAATTGTGAATGATATTTGGGTTTCACCTTACATAGGTAGCATTTTTTCAAAACAAAATCACAAAGAACAAAATTGAAACTCGTCTGTCTTCTAAAATAATATACTGTAAATTCTGGATCATTTTAACCTTTTGAAATTACTTAAAAGAACATATAGAATTGGTCAGAATTTGGAAGGATTTGTGAAGGAATCCTTTGGAAACCATGAGCAGATAGTCTGTTGTCGTTAGGCCCATAAAGGAATCTCTGGGGATGGTCCTTGAGTCAGGCCTGGCAATGGTCAGTGTACATAAACAGAGCCTAGCTTTCAGTGTTTTGTGAAGAATGCTTTAATACAAACTTAGAATGTTTGTCATGTTGTGTGTTTTCATAAAATAGCCTTTTTAAATATATTTTTATTGATTTCAGAGAGGAAGGGAGGAGAGAGAATTGGCTGCCTCCTGCATGTCCCCTACTGGGGATCGAGCCTGAAACCCAGGCATCTGTCCTGACCAGGAATCTAACCCCAAACCTCCTGATTCATAAGTTTATGCTCAACCACTGAGCCATGCCAGCCAGCCAAACAGTCTTTGATTTTACCACATCTTTAGTTTAAAATATTTATCATATAGGGTTACCAGAAGTTAAATGACACCCCCCCCCCCTTTTTTTTTTAAGGGAGAACTTCCAGGTAGATGCTAGAGAAGGATCATAAAAGCCCCTTGGAAAATTGCTATGAAAAAATTATTTGATCTTGGAATTAGTATATATGTGCTGCCGAAGCGAGCACTGATCTTGGAATTAGGAGGAGAGATTTATTTTATTGGCAAGAGCAATGGAAAGTTAACTCTGTATCCTAATATTATAAAGGGAGTGGGATTTATCTAATAGTTTTATGGGCTCTCCAAGAAGGCATATCACTTAGATTTTATTTCATTCTTTCCTTGGAAGTAATTCACTGATCTCAGATCATTGGTGGCATTACTTATTTTACTTTTAGATAATTCCGTCCTGTGTAGTGATTCATCAAAAGAGCTTCTGCTGTTGGTTGCAAATTTGGCTTCTCTGAAGCTATTCATAGTCTTTTCAAGAGCTGTAGTCTTCTTCAGTGAGCTGTTAATTGTTCTTGGTATATTTTTGTTGCAATTTTTATAATATAATATGCTATTTATTAATCTGATTTTTGTTTTCTTTTTGCAGTGATTACTTATTCAAGTTGCTTCTGATTGGAGACTCTGGAGTTGGAAAGTCTTGCCTCCTTCTTAGGTTTGCAGTAAGTTGAAATTGAAATGCCTTTAAAGAAATTAATGTTGTGTACATTTTCTAGTAGACAAAAGATTAAGCTGTTTCATTCACAATAAATTAAGTCTTCCAGAATTTACATATTAAGGTCTCCAAGAATACACCCCTAGTGATACCTTTGAGTCTTAAATAAAAGAAATGCTGTTATTCTTAAAAGAAATTCAGCAAAGTGTGTTTTATAGAGTCAGAGTGATAGTCTTGGTAGAGGTCAGACAATGTTTAATTTCCAACATGGGTAGTAAGTTAAGGGGAAAACAGTTGGCCTGTGTTGAAAGCGACTTGATGGAAAACAAATTTTCAAGTAAAAGTTTCACAAAAAGAAAAGAAAAAGTAGGGCCTGGCAAATTTTGACAATGGTGCTCTATATGCTGAGACTTATAAGCAGGTAAAAGACTTTTCAATCTAATGAATTCACAGTCTTCTTTATAGTGTTTATCAACTGCCTTCAAATTTAGCATGTTTTCCATCTCACTGTCTAGATCTTTGGTTCTCAGAGTGTGGACTAAAGGCCCTTGGGGATTATCAAGACTCTCTCAGTGGGTTGTCCATGAGATCGAAACTATTATCTTAATAATACTAGGCTGTTAGGATTTACTAAATAAATAATTACTTAGTACTAAAAAAAAAAAAAAAAAAAAAAAGATTTGCCTTTTTCACTGTATTGACAGTTAGACCTTTTAGCTTTATCAGCTTTATATGTAAAAGTTAGCACTGTTTTCTTACTTACTCTAGTATTGAACATTAATTTTAATCATGAACTGTTTCTTTTCAGGATGATACGTATACAGAAAGTTACATCAGCACTATTGGTGTGGATTTCAAAATAAGAACTATAGAGTTAGATGGGAAAACGATCAAACTTCAAATAGTAAGTAGTTTTTTAACTAGAAGGTTTTAAAAAAATTATTTTGATAAATTTAGGATGTATTATTTATTTAGTTTTTAATATTTAACAAAATTGAATTTGAAGTATTTTAAGGATCATGCATCCATGATAGAGTGGTAGAATAAGAATTGTTCAGATTAAAAATGACTTATCTAAGATTATCTTCCTTATTGAATTTTCTATTCATAAAGCAGAGAAATACATGTTTTAAATCAAACTTGTTCTTTTTCTTGTGCTTTTATCAGTGGGGTATAAGCTGAACTTTACCTTGTCTTATAGCAAAAGTATGTTGAGCATTTTCTCTATGTCTTTTACTGTGTTGAGTACTATGGAACATGAAAAGAAACCGAGGGAGAAGTTCTTCATATGTGGCTTGAGTACAGTTGACCCTTGAACAATGTGAGTTTTAACTGTGCAGACCCACTTACACACTGATTTTTTTCCCAGTTGACTCATGTAGTTCATTTGACCTAGTAGGCAGTTCAAACCCAGATTGTTCAAGGGTCATCGGGTGGTTGGGAATCCACACGTGTGGAGAACAGACTTAAGTTATTTGCTAATTTTTGATTGTGCTGATGGTTGGCACCTCTAACCTCTCCGTGTTATTCAAGGGTTACCTATATATTTTTTAAAAATTTCTGTTTTATTTCGTAGTATTTACCAACTCTTAGAATTTTATCGGAAAGGAACTTAACTTTTCTAATTTGTTGTATAGCTCAAATTGATGTTATTTGCCTATCGTTCTTAGCACAACCAAGTGGCCCATAGTTCTGCCTTCAATATTTTGTGTCCCTGTGCCATCCTTGTCCCCTTATCTATCCTTACAACCCAACCCCAAATTAAAAGTAGGTAATTGTAGTAGTTCAGTTGTTATCACTTCAATATGGGTCTGGGATGACTAATGTAGGCATATCTATGGTTTTTAAAAATAATCTCTTGGGTATCTTTTAGAGCTGGCTATTAGTATTAAGTAACATAGAAAACTAGTGACTGTTCTTTTTTATGGAATTGATAATACACTGAACTGGGAATTGTGAATTTGGAGTCAGAAAACTTGGATTTGATATCTTCATTCTGGTATTTACTAGTTATAGAGTTATGGGTTTAACTTTAGCCTTTTTCCCGAGACTGTTTTTTATATCCAAAATGAATGTGAAAATACTTGATTTATGAACTCATAAGGTAGTCGTGAGAACCAAATCTGGTAGCTTTGTGTATGTATATGAAAGCCCTTTGTAAACTTTTGGGCAGTACAATAGTGTGTCGTCCGTCCCCCCCCCCCCCCCCTTATTCTAAGACCCCCAGGGGATGCCTGAAACCACAGATGGCACAGTACCCTACATATACTGTTGATTCCCTATGCTATATACACACCTATGATAAAGTTCAATTTATAAATAAGGCACAGTATATTAGCAGTCTATAATAATAAAAGTGTAATATGCTAATTAGACCAGATGTCCTTCCCGGCGACCTTCCAGGCAAAGCTGGAGCTGCAGGGGAAGCACAGGTCCCTGGTGCCTGCCAGTGGCCAAAGGGAAGACGGTGCCGGCAGCTGAGGGAAGGAAGGCCTACTCTTGCACAAATTTTGTGCATTGGGCCTCTAGTGTACTAAAGTAAGAGATAAGAGAATGTGATCTCTCAAGATGATACAGTGCCAATGTGATGAAGTGAGTTAGATATGCTGAATGAAGGGGATGATTCAGGTCAGGGGTAGGACTGAGTATAATGATGCAAGATTTCTGGCACAGCTCAGAACAGCATGCAATTTAAAACTTAGAAATTATTTCTGGAATTTCCATTAAAAGTTTTTTTAACCACGGTTGTCTACTGGTATTTGAAACCATGGATAAGGAGGGACTATTGTATACAAATGTTACTGATGACATGACATTCTCCAGAGAGGTAATATTTTTTTCCTCCCTTATATGACTCTGATGAGGGGGAGAAAAGGTACATTAAAAAACAACAGTTGGTTTTGCTATAGGTTAACACACTTGGCATTCCAAAATAGGACTTGCAAGGATATAATTTTCTGAGAGAGTGTGAAATACTTTAAACCAGCCTTCCAAATTGATCCTTCCTTCCTCCCATTATATGTAGAACTTTATATTTGGCACCATCTAAAGTGAGAGGCATGTTTCAGAAAGCTGCACTCAAGCCTCTTAACTACTGATATGAAATGATTACATGTGTGATTATTGGTTTCCATAAGGTTTGAAAATATATTTGTGAAACATTCTTGTGACTGGAATGGTTCATAATAGGTCATTCTTTGAGTCTTCCTTTTTGTGTTTGGTAGTAATTTCCTTTCCCCATTTGAACATTTTTGGGAAGCTCACCAGTTTTTCAAAGCTAGTTCCATTTGTAAATAACCTCTAATAGTTGTGTCTTCATATTGAGCTGAAGCTAGTTTCCATTCACTTCTAGCTCTTATTTCTCTGCCTTTTGGAGCTTCCTGAATGAGATTAATTTTTTTTCTGTTGACACCTGCCCTTTATTTTTATTTTGTAATCTTTATTTTTTAAAATTACTTTTAATTTTTAAGTTATATTTGACATACAGTTTATTATATTAGTTTGAGGTGTACAACCAGTGATTAGACATACTATGCACCCTCTCCAATCCAGGACCCCTCGGGGGATGTCTGACTGCCCTCTCGCAATCTGGGACCACTGGCTGTGTGCCTGCCTGCCTGCCTGCCTGATCACCTCTCACCTCTCTGCCTGCCTGCCTGCCTGATCACCCCTAACTGCTCCCCTATTGGCCTGATCACTCCTAATTGCTCCCCTGCTGGTCTGATTGCCCCTAACCTGGGACCCAGGATTCCCTCCCTCTGGCTGGCTGAAGGCACACAGGATCTGGGCTGGCTTCACCTGGGCTGGCTGCAGTCGCAAAGGACTGTGGTTGCGCGGCTTTGCTTGGGTCCCAGCAGCAGGCACCCGGGTCTACGGGGCGTATGGCTTGTCCCTCTCCCAGGATGGGTTACAGGTGCAGACACAGTTGCTGGCACCTGGGACCGCAGGGAGGGCGGCTTGTCTCCCGGACTGGGCCACGGCCTCAGGTGCAGCCCCTGGCACCTGGGCCCATGGGGCCTGCAGCTTGTTCCTCTCCCAGGCTGCAGGCGCAGGCACAGCCTCTGGCGTCTGGAACCACGGGGTGGGTGGCCTGTCCCTCCCCCATTTCTCTCTTGGGAGCTCATTTGTGCCTAGCTGGTCCCCCTTCCTCTCTCCCCAGTGTTGAGTGTCTGAGGCCTGAGGGTGTGATGGCCATTTGCATATTAACTCTCTATTATATAGGATTATATCCTTTTTGCTGTACTTTACATCCTCATGACTATTCTTAACTACCAATTTGTACTTCCTAATAATCCCTTCCCCTTTTTGACACATCTGCCTAACCCTCCTCCCATCTGGCAAACATCAAAATATTTTGTCTATGAGTCTATTTCTGCTCCGCTTGTTTATTTTGTCTTTTAGATGTTGACAGATACATATTTATTGCCATTTTATTCATATTTTTTATCTTTTTTCTTTCTTTTAAAGAAGATCCTTTAACATTTCATGTATAACTTTTTCTTGTCTGGGATGCCCTTTATCCTTTGATTTTCAATGGTAGCTTTTCTGGGTAGAGTAATCTTGGTTGTAGGTCCTTCATCACTTTGAGTATTTCTTGCTAATCCCTTCTGGCTTGAAAGTTTCTGTTGAGAAACCAGCAGATATTCTTATGGGAGCTCCCTTGCACTTACCTGTTTTTTCTTGCTATCTTTTTATTGAATTCAGAGAGCAAAGAAGAGGGAGAGAGAGAGAGACATCAGTGATGTAAGAGAATTATTGGCTGCCTCCTGCATCCCCTACTGGTGATCAAGCCCACAACCTGAGCATGTGCCCTGAATGAGAATCAAACGTGACCTCCAGGTTCACAGGTCCCACAGAGCCACACCAGTTGGACTTTTCTTCCTGCTTTTAAGATTACATTTTGTATTTTAGTTATGTGTCTTGGTATGGGCCTCTTTGGGTTCATCTTGTTTGGGACTTCTGTACTTCCTGGATTTGTATCTATTCCCTTCACCAGATTAGGGAAATATTCTGTCATTGTGTTTTCAAATAGGTTTTCAATTACTTTCTCTCCCCCCTCCCTCCCTCCTTCCCTCTCTCTCTCCCCCTCTCCTCCTTCCAGTACTCCCACAATGTGAATGTTGGTATCTTTGAACTTGTTCAGAGGCTCCTTACACTTTTTTCTTTGTGTTCTTCTGATTTGGTGTGTTTTTGTGAGTTTCTTTGTTTTTGTTGTTTTGCTTCTTTTATTCCAAATCACTGATTTGATTCTTGGCTACATCTACTTTACTGTTGATACCCTGTACATTCTGCATTTTAATTAGTATTTTTTTTTTTATTGTTTCCATGTTTTTTTTATGTTCTAAGTTCATCTATTTTTTTCCTCTAAGTTCATTGAGTATTCTTATAACCAGTGTTTTTAATTCTGCATCTAATAGATTGCTTGTCTCCATTTTGTTTAGTTGTTTTTCTGGAGTTTTTATTCTTTCATTTGGAACATGTTTCTTCTCATTTTGGCAAACTCTCCTTCCCCCTGTTTCTGTGTATTAGGTAGGGCTGCTGGGTCTCCCAAGCTTGATAGAATGGCTTAATGTAGTTCGTGTCCTATAGAGTCCAGTGGCATCCAAGTGAACCCCTTGTGTGGGCTGTTACACCCTCTTGTAGTTGAGCCTTGATTGCTATTGGCTTGTCAGTGGAGGGATTTACTCATGGGCTTATTGGCTATAAGGACCGGCTGTGACTACTTAACATGGAGGATAGCTGTGCAGGAGTCCACCTTATGGAGGATTTACTTCCAATGCTGCTAAGTCTGCCCGTTGAGTGTGTCACTGTGGGGGTAGTTGGGTAGTGCTTCAATGTGATCTAAAGCTGTTCACGGGTGCCTCTTCATGGGAGGTGCAGGCCAATGTCAGTTGCCACCTATGTTCTGTCCAGTGCCACCTGGTATGAGCTACAAAATACCTGTAGATGACTGCTGCTTGTGCGGGTCTTAGAAATGCTCAGGAGAAACCCAGCTGCTGCCACTGGTATTGGGCTTGGGGCTACTTAGCAAGAGGTATGAATCATGTTGAGGCCAGATGCTGCTGCTTTAAAAAATTTTAGGAAAGCCTGAAGCATGAGCCAAGATATGCCATTCTTATGGAAAAGTCACTGGAAACAGCTTGAGTGGGCCTGTAAGTTGGGTGGGAAAAGTCTCAGGGAATCATGAGACGAAGACAGTAATAGCCAGGTTGAAGGAGACTCAAATATGGCACCTATCTGACATCTCTGTGCAGGGAGAGCTAAGCAAAGGAAAAAATGGCCTTTGCCAGCACTTCTGTCTGGAAGAAAGCTATCCCTCTAGCTTTCACTCTGATGCCAGACAATTCATTTCCTCCTTGTATATCCCTGGAGCCTTTCAAGCTGCTGCCCCAGTGCTGGAGCTCAGAGCAAGTGAGTCAGAATAAGTCCGTGCTTGGGCCCTTTATTAGGAACTGCCTAGGCCCGGCTGGTGTGGCTCAGTGGTTGAGCATTGATCTATGGAGGTCACAGTTCAATATCTGGTCAGGACACATGCCTGAGTTATAGGCTCAATCCCAGTAGAGGGGGTGGGGTGCAGGATGCAGCGGATTAATGATTTTCTCTCCTCATTGATGTTTCTTTCTCCCTCTTTGAAATCAATAAAAATGTATTAAAAAAAAAAAAGTTGCCTGGGATTCTAGCAGTCTTGTTTCACTCAGACACAATTCCTTCTGGTTTTTACAGCAATTTCTCTTCCTGGCACTGGAACCCTGGGTTGGGGGGGCCTGGTGTGGGGCTGGTATCCCTTGCTCCTCGGGGAAACCTTGGCAACCAAGGTATCCGTCGTGATTTTTCTGTGCCACATGTGCGTGTTGGACCAGCCCAGCCCTTTCGGTGTCTCCATCTCTCCTATCAGTGTTGATGTGGCTTCTTTATATCCTTAGTTGGGACTTCTGTATTTCAGGTGGTTCTGAATGATGGTTGTTCTGTAGTTTAGTTGTAATTTTGAAGTGGTTGTGGGAAGGTGTCAGTACTGCCTAGCTTACTTTTTGTGTTGATCTTATCACAATCTCTACATCTGAAATTAGAGTTTCTGGAATCATGTTTTCAGAATCTTACATTTTATAAGTGCTTTTTAAGATGGATTCCTGAAATAAAGTACGATATATAATCTAGCTAGTGTGGACTATATGAGGTAAATCCTCCCTTAATTTGGATCTGAATATATATGTATATATATATAGATATGTGTATACACACACACACACACACACACACACACACACACACACCCGTATTTTTCGGACCATAAGACGCACCAGTTTTTAGAGAAGGGAAATGAAGAAAAAAAGATTCTGAAACAAATAGTGTCCTAAAATATTTTATGTGCATTAAAACCCAACATCACAGTCATAAACACATGTAATCAACCCTGTAAACAGCAGCATTTAGAACCATTTTAGAGCCAGGCAAGCACACAGAGACCACACAGAGCCCGGCAAGTAAAAAAACTTTTTTTTTAAAGTATGTGTAGGCTATATTTGGACCATAAGACGCAGGGACTTTTCCCCCCCACTTCTGGGGGGAAAAAAGTACGTCTTATGGTCTGAAAAATATGGTGTGTGTGTGTGTGTGTGTGTGTGTGTGTATGTATATATATATATATATATATATATATATATATATATATATATATATATTTATTTTCCCCTCTTGGATGACAGGGATTCATGGCCTTTTCTATCATTAATCTATTCAAGAAAGAAAGAAAAAGCACCTGGATTTAGGTTAACTTTTTAGAAAGTCTTATACTTTGTGACTATAGCTTTTTAATCTGAATGCTAGATTTTACTTTTAGTATTAAAAAATATATATACTTGTATAGATTTCAGAGGGAAGGGAAAGGGAGAGGTAAAAACATCAATAATGAGCCAAAAACCAGTTTGGCTCAGTGGATAGAGTGGTTGGCCTGCGGACTGAAGGGTCCCAGGTTTGATTCCAGTCAAGGGCATGTACCTTGGTTGTGGGCAAATCCTCAGTGGGGGGGTGTGCAGGAGGCAGCTGATTGATGTTTCTAACTCTCTATTCCTCTCCCTTCCTCTCTGTAAAAAATCAATAAAACATATTTTATTTAAAAAAATCTGATGAATCATTGGTTGTCTGCCTCACCCCACACTGGGGATCAAGCCTAAAACCAGGTATGTGCCTTGACTGGAATCAAATGGTGACCTCCTGATGTTCAACCACTGAGCCATTCTGGCTGGGCAGATTTTACTTTTAACCCCATTTTATTTCATTTTGTAAGGCTTGAATTATCCTTCTAAGTTTTCTGGGTCTTTCAAAATCATTATGTTGATCTATATTTTATTATCCTTTCAGCTTTTCCTTTTCAAGTGTGCCCTTTGGGTCTTCCTCAGAATTAGTGATTACAAAACATTCAGTAAGGTAGGGCAGCTATGGGATCCAGACCCACAGCATGCAGGCATCCTTCTGTGATTGTTCACTGATGACACATTTATGGACATGCTTATGTTATACCAAAAACCCCCCAAGAGGTTCGAGGTTACAGAGAGATTATTAACATAGCCTCTTAGAAGGAGAGATCCCATTGGAGTGGGGCTGACAAATATGGGAAAGTCAGTAACCCTGTGATTAGGAGGTAATGAGAATTATATACAAAGGGTGATCAATTACAGAGGAAGGTACTATTATGTAGAATCAGGAGTTTTCAGACTGGCAAGGGGACAGGAGACATCGGAAAGTTTAATCAGTTAAATTCTTTAACATTTATGCATAAACAGTTTCTTCTTTGTGCTATCTTTGTGCAGGGAGTGGTGTGTGGAGAAGGGAGGGAAGAACTTTCTTCTTTATATAATCCTATTACCCCTCACAGAGTAATTGGATTTCTCATGTTTGTCTCTCCCATTTAAATGAGATATCCTGTGAGCGCTGTTTTGTTCCTCTCTCTGATCTTGAATCTACGTGCCTGGTGTAGTGTAAGGATTTTCATAATATTTTATTGAGCAGCTTCTACAGTTAGGCATTCTGCTAGGCATTTTACTAGCTTTAATTTAAACCCATTTAACAATCCCTAAGTTGAGTTACACCAAAGATTTATAGATGAGGAAACTGTTAATTGACTGTCCCCAGTATTAAATAACCAGGAGCCTGGAATTTATGTTTTGAAGTCAGATTGGCTTGACTCCAAAGCTTAGGCTTCTCTAAGGAATCCTGAAAGACTTTGACACATATATGTAATCTCAAAGAGGAAGGGAGAGGGTGAGAGAGAAAAATCAATGATGACACTGAATCATTGACTGGCTGCCTCCTCCTCTTGGGGATCGAGCCCGCAATCTAGGCATGTGTCCTTGACTGGAATCAAACCAGGGACCCTTCAGTCCACAGGCTGACGCTCCAACCACTGAGCCAAACCGGCTAGGGTGACTTGAACTCTCTTTACTAATACAGAACTAAAGTCCTTTGGGCTTTCAGGCCAATATTTTGAACAAAACAAAACAAAAAATGAAGCCGTAGTGACTTGTTTTTATTGGTTTTAGATGAATGGTGTTAACTTTATTTGATTCATTAACTATTCCCCTGGAGTATGTTAAATTACAGGCATTATATTTTATTCCAAGCATAGGTTGGTATGCATCTCTATTTTCCTATGTAAACATTATCATATCTAGCAAAATTGACACTAAGGCCTCAATATTATCTAATATCCTGTCTGTGTTAAAATTCCCCCCCAATTTGAATTTAACAGCACCTTGTCTTCTAGAAAAGACGGTGATTTCACCGAGTGCTCCTGAAGCAGTTTTGTGTTTTTTTTAAATTTTCCCATTTAAAACATTGGGGAGGATCAATGCCAAGTTCACAGACTCCAGAACTTTGTAATCCCCTCCTGATAAAGGGTACTGCATCTTGATCTTCACTTGTCTTGGACTTCAGGTCCATTTATTTTTACAGTACTATTCTGTTATTTCTCCATTAATCAAGATGTTACCTTTTACCAGTGGGGTAGGTAGCTATTCTAACTATACAAATTTTTAAAGAAACCATTGTCTAAGAGCAATTTAAACCAAATTCTCAGTGTCCTTGTTAATACCAATGCTTTTAAAATCTAACAATTGAGTTTCCTTTCAGTTTTTTATTAAACCCAGAATTTTAATATAGTAATTTAAGTGAGATTTGTTTTTGGTGTTTAAGTCTAAATGGTGAAGTGTGGAAAATTGCTTTTAAAATGAATTTTATGAAAGTATTTTGAATCATCTTCCTTACATTGTTTTCCCTAGGATTAAGATAATACTTTCCAGAGATGGTTAAAGTGCTATCTTGACTGGTATTTACCTTAATCAGAGCCTTTCAGCGCATTCCATGATGCTAAAACATGCTAGCAAATATTGTCTTACGTGTGAGTGTTAAAGGGGCGTAAGGACAGTAGCCTTCCTAATTAAGTCAACCTGTTTATGCAGTCATTCTGAATGTCTTGCACAGTTCTAAGAATGGAAGGGAATATGAAAAGTATGACATACTTCCTAATCTCAAAGAGCTGGTGTAATATTGGTAGCATAACCATAAGCTAAATTGTAGGCACTAGCTGCTTTTCTGGACCTTCAGGTATTTAGCAGTTATCATGCATTTAGTAGTTAAGCACTGAGGGCTAATGTTTCCATTTCAAATCCTGTACACATGTAAACTAAATTGTTCCCCCTCCTCCTGCCCCTTTCCCCAACTCTATCTTAATGGAACTGTTTGGATTTCTTGATTATTTTATAATAGTGGGACACAGCAGGCCAAGAAAGATTTCGAACAATCACCTCCAGTTATTACAGAGGAGCCCATGGCATCATAGTTGTGTATGATGTGACAGATCAGGTAAGTTCCAGAAGGAAATTGTGTTACATTGACCAAATAGGATATTACTATTTGATAAATAGCCATCCATTTTATTTATATGGACAAAAACTTTACTTCCAAATAAGTGAATCACACAAACATTATTTGGGCACTTAATGAATTGGTCAGCCAAAATGTCATATTATTTTCCTTAAGTAAAAAGAATGTTTAGTATTTGGTTTTACATTTGCTTTTAGGGACTCTGGTTATATTTATTATCAACTAAAAAACTGTTTTGACAAAGAGTTTATAGGGAACTGTAGGTTATTTGGCTTATACCATTTTTTGGGTGTTAAATATTAACTAATTTGCCTAACAGAGTTGTCAGAATTGTCAAAAACAAGATTATGAGTCTGCCTGTGGAAGATATTCTCGATAGGTTGAGCTAGAGGAAGATTTTAGGAGAACGGAGAATATCTGAAGATTAGTTTTTGCAAGGTGGTGGTGGAGGTACAGGGATAGCGTAAAGAATGTAGTCCAAAGACCGAAAGAATTGTTGACAGAAAATTTCAAGTTTTTTTTCCCTATCAAAGAATAAAGATAAATGTTTAGAACTTATTTTTCTTATAACAAATGTTAAATGTCACTTCAACTATGATATAGCTAATTAAGAGATAACTGGAATAATAAGACTTTAGATTCAATGCATATTGGGTGACACAACAGAAAATAGCGCTAATTTCAAATCTCATGTCATTACCGTGAAATACTTAAAATTTTTCTCAGTATGATTGTGCTAAAAAAACAAGCATCTTTGGACCCATTTATTTAATTTTTTTTTTTAATCTCTAGTAGTAACACTTAAGCTATCTATTCATAAACCAAAATAATCAAATTTCAGTTCAAATTTGTCAAATTTGCTTGAGCTAGTTTGATGCTGAGCTGTATTTCTCTGTCAAATAAGGTATTTTTATCCTCAAGCCTTCAAATTCTAATTTATTTAGGTATGAATAGTCATTGTAATATTATCAGTTTATTTCTTAACCAGCATTATAGTAATTATCTTGTAGCTAGAGTTTCTTCATTAACTCTTCATCTCTCGCTTCATTAGAACAGTTGTTATAGAATAAAGCTATATTATCATCCTTAAAAATGTCTGTCTTCTTAGGAATCCTTCAATAATGTTAAACAGTGGCTGCAGGAAATAGATCGTTATGCCAGTGAAAACGTCAACAAATTGTTGGTAGGGAACAAATGTGATCTGACCACAAAGAAAGTAGTAGACTACACAACAGCAAAGGTATGTTTAAAGTTGATTTTCAAATTGAATTTGAATTATGTAGTAGGGAGTCATAAAATGATCACAACCACCTTTTGCTTTTAAAATGTGCACTAAAATACTTTAAAATGTCTTTTTTTAATGGTGTCTGTTTGGATTCAGTGAACTTAGTCTTTCCTCACTGCCCATTTTAGACAGAAATGCACTAAAAGTGACAAAGATTTTTTCAGCCTTGATTGGTTTGGCTCAGTGGATAGAACATCGTCCTGCAGACCGAAAGGTCCCAGGTTTGATTCCGGTCAAGAGCATGTACCTTGATTGCGGGCACATCCTCAGTGGGAGGTGTGCAGGAGGCAGCTGATCTATGTTTCTAACCCTCCCTCTCCCTTCATCTCTGTAAAAAATCAATAAAAATATATTTTTTTAAAAAAGAAAAATCTTCTCAATGTTAATTGTGCTTTATTATTCTCTTAGGAATTTGCTGATTCCCTTGGAATTCCATTTTTGGAAACCAGTGCTAAGAATGCAACGAATGTAGAACAGTCTTTCATGACAATGGCAGCTGAGATTAAAAAGCGGATGGGTCCTGGAGCGACAGCTGGTGGTGCAGAGAAGTCCAATGTTAAAATTCAGAGCACTCCGGTCAAGCAGTCAGGTGGAGGTTGCTGCTAAAATTTGCCTCCGTCTTTTTCTCACAGCAATGAATTTGCAATCTGAACCCAAGTGAAAAAACAAAATTGCCTGAATTGTACTGTATGTAGCTGCACTACAACAGATTCTTACCGTCTCCACAAAGGTCAGAGATTGTACATGGTCAATACTGACTTTTTTTTTATTCCCTTGACTCAAGACAGCTAACTTCATTTTCAGAACTGTTTTAAACCTTTGTGTGCTGGTTTATAAAATAATGTGTGTAATCCTTGTTGCTTTCCTGATACCAGACTGTTTCCCGTGGTTGGTTAGAATATATTTTGTTTTGATGTTTATATTGGCATGTTTAGATGTCAGGTTTAGTCTTCTGAAGATGAAGTTCAGCCATTTTGTATCAAACAGCACAACCAGTGTCTGTCACTTTCCATGCATAAAGTTTAGTGAGATGTTATATGTAAGATCTGATTTGCTAGTTCTTCCTTGTAGAGTTATAAACGGAAAGATTACACTATCTGATTAATAGTTTCTTCATACTCTGCATATAATTTGTGGCTGCAGAATATTGTAATTTGTTGCACACTATGTAACAAAACAACTGAAGATATGTTTAATAAATATTGTACTTATTGGAAGTAATATCCAACCAAATGGTGATAAGTATTGTTTTAATTCTTATGGTTAAAGGGAAAGAGAGCCTTGCATTATTCCTAAAACATCCATTTGTGTGTGCAACCAGGGCAGTGTAGACCTATCTTAGAGCAGCATTCATTATGCTTTCCAGATAATACACCTAATAAATGACCTAGGGAAGCTTTCTGCTGGGTAGGATTTTAGCCAAGCTTAGTGGTTCAGGGAGATTAAATTGTATGGTAAAGAAGTCTATGCTATATAGCTTGTTATCTCTGATCCTTCTCTAAAACCATCTGAAATGGCTTCATTAATCAATACTTTAATTTTTTTGTGTGGTAAAGGTGGAAAGCATCACCTTCCCTTAATTGTCAAATGATCAGACCAATACATGTGCTAATATTTCTTCAATGCTCGGGGTCAGATGCCAACTATTTTATCCTCCACAATTGTGTAACTTAGGTTGGAGGATAGGTAAAGCATTAAAAAGTAGAAAGAAGGGAAATTTTACTATTTGATTGCCCTAATTTTAGAAATTATTTCCCTAAAAATTATCTGAAAACATGAACGTTAGATGGGAATAAGTAAGAGAAATATTTATTTCCGTGGGATTTTGCACATGTGAAAATTTTGTTAAATAGGACCTTAAAGATTTTAGGGTTTGTTTTTTATTGTGGAAAACAGTCTTTTGCTAACACTGGCATTTTAAGGTAATGTAAATCAAAGGCTGTTTTCCTGGGGCTTGAAGGTAGCCGCCAAATATTCTTTACTTAGGGGCTTGGGATATGGTTGTTGGCAACATATTTTATGGTGGGATTTTGAATTCAATGATAAAATCTAAATTAAAAACAAGCCAAAAACTAAAGGTTTTTATTTTTATTTTCACTAAACAGACAATTGAAATACATGGTACAAAAATAAGTGGTAAGATTATTGTAAAATAAAATGGACAGAATATTCCACTTAATTTTCCTTCTATGAGAATTTCACAATAAAATCATAGTTTTACTTTGTATTATAGATGTGCTTGTTGGATCTATTCATCCTCACATAAGGCATCTGAACTCAAATTGTTATTTGGGTGAAGATTTTTTTAAAAAATGCTTCAAAAGGTTTTTTTTGCTTTACAATATGGTATAAAGGGGGAAATAATTCAGAAACAGGATATCTTCTAAAGTAGATAAAAGATACAAATGTTAGTGTGACACCATACACTTCAGTTTTATACAGCAAGTTGTTCAAACTGTCATCTTGTTCTAAGATGTAAGCATATTTACATACTTAGTTTTGAAAATTTTAGTGTTCTTTCCCCCATGACAGTCAAGACTGGAGCGGAGAGTACCTAAGCAAGATGTTTCAGCATGCTCCATTGTTTGCTTTTATGAATATGCCAATAAACGCAGTCTTGGAAAAAAAAAAAAATCCCATTCCTACCCCCTTTTCAAGTACACACATTTCAAGCTACTATGGGCTTTTATCTAGTTATCTGTTGGACTATAAACTGTTAAAGTGGCTATCATGAATTAGTTTATGTAAGAGTAAGCTAAATCTAAGCAGTGCAGTCTTTGGGAAACCCTTGGAGAATGACAGCTATTTTGGTCTAAGCAGTAACTTCCTATTTTTTGACCTTGGATTGAAATAGCATACATGTTGACATTGCAGCATATTTTTACATCAACCCTTCTTTACATTCCCATTTAAGCTTTAAAACAGCCCTGTGTTGTTGACACTGTATTTGATTTGCATATGAGCTCAGCCATGGAGCTGCAACAAGAACCTATGTCCTGAAACTAGCAATATAGTTCTTAGTTCTGCCACCTCCCTGTAGAATTAACTTTTACTAATTCAAAGGGACTACAAGGAAATTTTCCTAGAGGTAAATTTGGGATTTCAAAATCACACTTATGCCACCATAGGCCACTACTGTCCTTAAGGCTAATGTGTGCCGCTGTGCACTGGCCAGCCAGGCCACTTGAACTGTAACCCAGCCACATTGGCTCATGGAAATGTTGCTAGCATCCTCTTAAGGCTGAAACAATTTCAGCTTCAATTTTAAGGGAGGTCTTCAACTTTTTATAGCACTGCTGAAGATGTAATTAGCCACTGTGCTGATACTACTCAGTGGCATTCTCAGAGGTCTAGAATGAGCACCCTTCTGTCACACCGTATTTCAAAGGAGATGAACAAAAACCTTCTTGAGTTCATCTCTAGGTAAAGTAGTACTTTCTTGGGAAACAGTACTTTGAAATAAAGTACCTTATAATTATTAGGTTGAGTTGGAGTAGAATGGCATATGCAGCATTCAATTACTGTAACCCTAGCCAGTTTGTTTCTAGAGGGTTGTCATCTTCAAATTTTTTTCCCCCCTGACCTGTAGACTTATTTTCATGCCTAACAAATAGTAGTAAATAACTGGGTTGAACTCCTAATGGCTACCCTGTAACATACTCAATGGAAAGTAGTGTAAAGGTATATGCCATTTTATAGCCACATCAAAGGGAAGGTGATATATAACAATATAAAAACAGAGGCTATTAGACATATGTGCCTTTTTAACCAGTTCTAGGCTATTAAAATTTATGTATGGAATCAAGATTAATATGGAGAATCATAATACAGGCAGAATCTTCATACACGGTTTAATTCTGATCATGCCCTTAAACTAAGTATTATGGTAAATCATACCATAGTAGGAGCAGGCACTTGAATACTGAATTTTATATAGCTGCTATTGAAATTTTATATCATTTCCCAGTGACTATGCAGTCTGAAATTTTAAAGCAGAAAAAGTTACATTTATAATAGGACTTTAGTTCATATGGATGTGGGTGAGATGGTGTTGAATGTTATGTGGCTCAGCCCCCTAAACTAAAATCCTAAATTTCTTTTTAAAAAAGTAACTTGGTATTAAATGTTTTGTTCTGAGGGATATCAGAAGTTTGCTTGTGAGAGTAATTGTTCTATCATCATCATCTTTTGATTCAAGATGACTTGTTCATTCTTTACAAACTTAAAAGATCTTCCTTTTTAAAGCACTTTCCTCAAATGAGAATCTGGAAGGAGTTTGAAAAAAGATCTTTAAGTATGAAGAACCCTTTGCTTAAATCTTAGCCCACTATAATACTAAAATTATATGGAGGGAAATGTACTTTTCTCATTCCACGTTAATTCATAGCCCAACAGAAACTAACTGATTTTGTTTTTGCATTATCTGTGGTTACCGGTAATGGATGATTACTTTGCTTTAAAGGTTACAGAATCGATATTTTAAATGGTTGATCTGTACTTACAGGTCAACTCCCAAGCAACAAAAAATTCCTTCCTTCCACTTCACTATTTTCGGCCTTAGTTTCTGTAGTTAACCAGGCTGTATGATCCTATCCATGCCCTTCCCTGACCTTGGACTACTCTTTACTCTTCCACAGGAGAGTGGGAATGGAGGGGAGCCTCCTCCTAGGAGGTACCTTTAAGATGGCTCATTAGTCCATAGCCTTGCTGAAGCTCAATGGCAATTCCCAATGCCCCAACACACTGTCCTTTAAGATATTTGTTAGCGAGGCAGATGGAGCCCTAAGCCCTGAAAATGACAAAAGGTCTAACCCCCAAAGTAATTTGTAGAGGAATCTTCTATGAATTTAGAGAGTTAAAGTCTCTTCTAAAGTCTTCTAAGTAGGACTTACAAACCCAAGCTTAATTTCATGAAAAGACCCAAATTCCTGACCAACCAACCAATCTTGTATGCCTGAGAGTACTGAGTATTTGGTACCTTATTTCTCATACCAGCCTTCTTTAAATGATCTCAGTGCGTGGACTAGTTTGAGAGTTTTGTCTGCTCTTTTTAACTGGGCAGAGGGGAAGAAAGACCTATAAGACTATTAACGTTATTTTACCAAAAGACTGCAAAGCCACATGCTCTTTGCAGAGAAGCACCAAAGGAACACCTTAGTTTGGAAGTATTTGTTTTAAATAAAAATAGTAATTCAGTAGTCCCTTATCTCGGGAAGATAAAGGCATTTTAAAGCTAATACATTAGGTTTAAGTTTCCCCTTTGATTATCAGTGTTAAATGGCTCTTACTTTCTTCCTGAAAGTTTCCCACCAGCCAGGTTTTGGGAGACAGATTACATCTCTGCCTGAGAAGATGCCTGAAAGAGAAAGAGAAGCATTTGTTACAGGCAGAATGTTGGAGAGGGATATACAACAAACATTTTACAACCAAAACAACTTGCTAAATTTCTGATACAAATAATGGACTCTTTGCTCTTGACATACCTGGATTTTATCCTTTACCTTATTTTGTCAGATCTAATCTGGAAAACCTGAGTTAGGCACCACATTTTGATTGGAGGCAATTTCAGAGATAGTATGGTCCAGTTGTCCCAAAGTGGGTACCAACTCTCTCAGCCTGCCTCTCCTATCATTCAGTTGGACCTTTCTAGAGAGCAGAGGAAAGTTGTACTATTAAGTTTCCAGGCATGTTATCCCCAACTATCCCCTCCTAGCCTTTTGTGGGAAAGGGAGGTGTGGAGAGTTATCAGTAACTGGGTCTGCAGGCACTGAGTGCCGTCAGTAGTTGCTTGGAGAAAGTATGAGTTGGGTGAGGAGCAAAGTAGGTATAGATAAGTTTTGCTGCTGTTGCATTTGGGTGCTGGTGAAGGGACTGCCATAGAAATGGGAGCATGACTTCCTAGTCCTCAGCAGGCAGCATGGGTGAAACGGTAATGTAAAACAGCAGTGAGCCTTTGTCCTCATGGGAAGACCCCACACACACCCCGCCGGCCTGCCCTCGCTTCTTCCTGGCAATGGTAGCATCTCCTCCTAGCATGTCAATTTTTTTTTTTTTTTTTTAGCCTCACCCAAGGAATGTTTCCATTGAAACTTTTTAGAAAATGGAAGAGAGAATGTGAGAGAGATGCATCAGTTAATTGCCTCCTGCAGTGCCTCAATTGGGAATGAACCTGCAACCTAGGTATGTGCCCTAAATGGGAATTCAATCCACCATCTTTTGGTGTATGGGAGGATGCTACACCGGCCAGAGAAACATCTTATTTGTTTTAATAGCTCTTGGCTCAAGTTTCTAAGAAACAAGCAAATGTCAGAGCAGGAGCTCTGTACCCTAATCCAGCACAGGGGTCTGAGGAGGGATGTTCTCTTGGATTTTTCTACTTACCAGGCTCATCCCAGTCACATCAGCACTACTGTGTGCCACTGGTGTGTCTTCAGGGATGAGGGTGCAGCCAGCCAGCATGTCCACAGAAGCTAAGATTGTGTCATACAGGCGATCTGCACGGCTCTCCAGCTCGCTGGGCTGCTTTGAGATCCGCCTGAGGACATCCTTTAACACTAACAAAACAATTAGACCAAAAAAAAAAAAATAATAATAATGCAAGTTATTTTCAAAAGAACATACAAGGTGTAGCATTTTACACAATAGTTTCAGAATGTCCACTCTTAACAGTGACCCTCCAGGAAATACTATTGCACTGGTGGGTCTTTTAATTTATGACTAAAGTGAGGCAAGAATTTCTCTGGCTCTACTTTTGAATTACATAATTCATAAAAAAGCAGACATGGTTCTGTGGTGACTGGTATTATCTGACTTTGAGAAATAAGACTCAGGGCACACCCAGATCATGTGGTGCAAAGGCTTAAATGAAAAAAGCCAGGATTAGGGCTCCTGGTCTTACTACCAGGTCCTAATAGCTTCTGTTGGCTGGGGACTGTCAGTTAGCCTGTGCACAGGTAGTCTGGTAACATTTGGGGATCCCTGTGGACCCCTTTTTGAGTTCTAAAATAGATTTCAAAAGAAAATACCCAAAAGCAGGCAAAGACAAGATGGTTAGCCAGGCCGGCATTGCTTGGTGGTTGAGCGCTGGCTATGAATGTCATGGTTCAGTGGCACATGCCCAGGTTGCAAGCTCAATTCCCAGTGTAGGGTATGCAAGGAGGCAGCTAATAACTGATTCTCTCTCATTGATGTTTCTCTTTCCCTCCCTTTACCTCTGAAATCAATAAAAAGATATATTTAAAAAGGACAGTAAGGCCAAGATTCCCTTCTACACATTAACTGTTCATTTGAGAAGGGGATGGGCTAGGTTCAAAGTGCATCTCATATAGCAAGCTTGTTTTTTTCTTAAAAACGTTATTTCCTTTGTTAAAACAGAAAGGCTGCTTTAGTTTCCTGTGCTTTTATCAGCTGTGTTAACACTCTCCCATTTCCTGCCTCAGCTGCAACATCTGCCAGCAGTGGAAGGGAAAGGGGAAGCTGTGTATCTGCAGAGGATGCTGATGGATGGGCAGAAGTACAGGCTGGCTGTGTTGAGATCAACCCCAAGGGCACCATATCAGTGCACAGTCACCAGGGCAAAGTGCTGTCCTGACAGCTCATGAGAGCTGTGAGGGCAAGGCCTGGCCGAGCAACGCAGCCAGGTGCACAGTACAGCTCACCGGGGACGGGCTCTCCCTCCACGTCCACCAGACCTTTGCCCGGTCCCCTGTGTGCTATCAGTGGAGTTCAGGGGACCTTTATATTTTTAGATTGGAGTCAAATAAAAGGAAAGCTGGGAACAGGAATGAAATATTTCCCAGTGAGATCTTATGTTTTAACTAGAGGCCCGATACAGGAAATTCGTGCAAGAGTAGGCCCCCTCCTCCCTGCGCTGGCACCAGCTTCCCTCTGGTACTTGGGACCCGGAAACGGCTTCGTCTGGAAGAATGTCTGGTCTAATTAGCATATTATGCTTTTATTATAGATTATTTATAGTGGCCTGTTTCAGTTTGATGCCAATAGGTTCCAGCCATTTGATCCAGTATTATAAAGCATTTGTTGAGATAGGACTGTAATGAAAACCTGCCAGATTTCTGTGGAGAGGCCTTTGACAGGAGGCTGAGATCAGGACATTTTGAGGGGGAGTTCATCCGGCTTCTCATCTCCAAGCTTATGCTGTGGCAGAGGCTGGGGAGGAGTGTCTGTGCTTGAACTCTTACTGCGTGTCCCGGAGCAGTGGTCACCAACGTTTCAGACCTCACGGACCACTGCTCTGGAGAACACCTAGCTGGACAAACCCTGTGAATCAAGGGGAACTTGTGATTTCCATAGAGCAGTCAGGTTCCTGGGTGTGCCAAACAGGATGGGGAGGGGCAGTGTGTCAATCTGAAAGAGCCCGGATGCACAGAGCCTGAAAACTACAGAAACCCCAAAAGCCTCTTATTTTGACAGTAAATACCTCTAGACTCCTTTGAGAGAAAGGCAAAGTGGGACATTTTTATTACAAACTAAGCACTGAGAAGTTTTCTGAATTGTTTTTTAAATGGTCAAAGAACCTGTGGCCTTTAGGAGGCCCTATTGTTACATATGGCCTCTGGGAAGAGTTTCCTGGTATTGAGCTCCTTCCCTTCCTGCTCAGCCCCTGCCTGCACCCCCCCACGCTGACAGCAGCATAGGAGCCAGCACATACTACAATAGCAGGGGCTGAGCCAGGCTGCCATTCCTTGTGTGACCAAGGCAAATCCATTACTCTGCGGAGATGACAGTAGTAATAGTGTCCATCTCACAGGGCTGTGATTAAATGGGGAAAAAGTGAACTGCTTCAGCAGTGTCTGGCACACAGTGTTCAGAAAAGTACTGGAGTGATTATAGGTAGCAAAGGAGGTTGGCATACTTAATTTCTGCCCCAATCAAAACCAGAAAACCCTATACAAGAGAATACCAGAAGAGCCAAAACAACTGCCTCCGAAGGGCTGGGGATTGCAAAGGTCTCATATGTCATTGGATAAGCACTACCCTTTGGAAATCCCTGCAGTGTCTCCATGGCTCCTTCAGTTTTCAACCCTGTTGATTCCTCTTCCCAGGGGACATTTGGCAATGCTGGCGATACATTAGGTTGTCATAACTGGGGAGGGGTGCTACTGGCAACTAATGGGTAGAGGACAGAAATGCTGCTCAACAGCTTACCATGCACAGGACACCACTCTGAAAGAAGTATGTGGCCCAAAATATTGGTAGTGCTGAGGTTGAGAGAAACTGCTATAGTATACACCTCTTAATATGCACCTGCCCACTACTTCCGGTCAGAAAAGGGCAGCCTCAATGCCTCTCAAGCCTGCAGGTCCTGCCCAGCTTTGCTTATACTATTTGCTTCTAGCATAGACACCATCTCCAAATCTGAGGCACAATACAGATGGCTTTTTAGCACTTGGATGTTGGTCTCATAGGAAACTAGGGGCTGCTTTTAGGGACCCATCACTTCATTGCTTTAACCTAGCATTCTCCTGCCGCATCCTCCATTCACATCCACCTCCAGCAAGGGTAATACCATCGTAAATCCTTGCACCATGAATGCTTTACTCGTTTGTGATTTTCACATTTTCCTATCTTGGAAATCCACCCTACAAAACAGTCTTGAGCTTCGTTTGTGCACCACTGTCCCCCCGTCCCCTTTCTCAGTCCACTTCTTCAGTCTATTCGCTCAGAATAGATTGACTGCTCTTGAATCCTGAAAGAAATTCTTCCTGAAAGCAGATAACTAGAGGGGTGTCGCCTGCACTGGGAAAGGAGAGGAAGCCGCCTAGCCAAAAACCAACCAGCATTCCCACTCAGGACACTCGGAAAAGATGAAAGCAGAAGCAAGTGTGGCTCTTAAAAGCTTGACACGACTTCTACTCGGCTTACCTTTGTGACTGCCGGCCAATTGGTGTGGTTGCGGGGCAGGGGTGCTGTGAGGGGCTGGCAGCCATGGGAATCCAGGGCAATGGGTGCATGTGGGAGGGGCTTCGGCACTATGGCTCCTTACCAGTGAGTATGTGGGGCCCTGGACTGCGCTGACAGGCAGGCTAAATTCAAAGCCTCAAGCATCTCACCTGGGGTGTTATCCAACAGGCACTGAAGAAGAATCTCCCCTTCCTGTAAGACATTCTCCGCCAGGGACTGGTGTTCATCTATGTCTTTCTTAAATTGCTTAAAGTATATCAGAAAAAAAAAAAGAAAAGAAAAAGCTTCGTTACTCTCATTTTATAAAAGTTATTCAAAATGATCCCTTGTAGGGTAGCTTGATTTCCCTCTAACCTGTAATATACACCCACTGGTCTTCAGGACTCCCCAAGTAAACAGTGTCAAGTTGAACCACCTCTTTGGAGCCCAAGGTAAATACAGAGGCAATCTTTTTTTTTCTGTTGCGAGTTTGACAATAGTTTTCCCCCTAGGTGGAGCCTGGCTTATCAACAGCATGGAGTCAGAGCTTCCTTCTTGTGCCACACCTCATTCTTTATATTCACAGGCCGTGGGATTCTTAAAAAGTCTCTATTGTAATGGAACTGGCAAGTAAGAGGTGTTGTTAATGTGACCACAGTGACTGCTGCCTGTGGTCACGTTCTGTGTGGACTTCAGGCCTAGGGAAGGCATCAAGGAAGCCGAGTCTCCAAAGGAGCCCATCTGTTTCCCCCTCACAGGTACCGCGCCTTGTCTTCAGTTGTTTTTGGTGCACCTTTAGCCCCTAGGTGTAAGAGTCAAATCCATGACCACTTCTAGTATAGGGTGCAGAATGTGTTTCACATTCTGGTTATAATTTTCCTCCTGGATTTACTATATTCCTGTCTTCGGCCCTAATATCTATGCTTATTATTTTTATTCTTTAGTACTCTTGATAGTCTATATGCTGCCACAAACCCATTGCTATTAAGACAAAGTATGTGAGACAGAGTCCAGTTAAAATATTTGAATGCACTAGAGGCCTGGTGTACGAAATTGGTGCACAGGTACAGTCCCTAGGCCTGGCCTGCGATCAAGGCCATCTTCCCCAGCTGCCCGCAGCTGGCCCTGCCCCCTGCCACCACCCACCCCCGGTTCCCTGTTCACCATTGGGTGATCAGTGCCTGATTGGGGGGGGGGGGGGAGGAACCGAGAGATCAGCTGTTCCTGCCTGTTTGCCAGCCCCGCCCCTGCCATGGGTGGCCACCAGGCAATCAGAGCCTGCTGGCCGGGGAAAAGGACCAAGAGATGGTCAGTGTGCCTCACAGTGACTGGTCCAGCGGTTGTTCTACCTTTAGGGTCAATTGGCATATTACCCTTTTATTATATAGGATAGAGGCCTGGTACATGGGTGGGAGCTGGCTGGTGGGGGGTGGGAGTGGCCTGGGTGAGGGGCCACGAGCAGTTTGCAGGCCGGCCATGCCCCCTGCTTTGTCAGGAAGGACATCTGGTCTGTCTGGCCTAATTAGCATGTTACCCTTTTATCAGTATAGATACCCACACTCATGCTCATATTAGGTAGGTAACATGGGTCAGAGTAGCTTGTAAATGGGGAATTGGCTGACGGTCTCAGTTGTGTGTGTGACATAAGGGCTAGGCTTCACTGTCCTGTAGGAATAACTCCCAGCTCAGATCTGTTCTACCCACAAAGCAAGAATGTTGCTCTGGTTGGCCTGGAAGTTGATGCAGGACTGACTGAGGGACACAATAGAGGGAATGGAGTTGTTTCACTGGTACCTACTCTGATGGGGTGGGGCTGAGGCACTTTGGAAAGGCCACCAGGTAAGTCTAACAAGGATAGTTTCCTCTTCCCACAATGATACTGCTCTTGTGCCTCTGAGAGGTGGCCCAGCACATGGAGGACTCTCATACTCAGCTTTGCTTAGTGTATTCTAGGCAAGGAGCTCTCTACATAACAGGAAACAGCATTCCCACTAATGTAGAGCAGCTGGCCCACCCAGATGAGACTCCTCCCTTAAGTTTGACTTGGCCCCAAGCTGGAAAACAAAGGCCCTCCATCCTGGCTGGGCGTGGTGGGAGCTCTGGCTCAGCCCAGGCTGGTGTGGCCCTGGCTCAGGAAATCACGACCTCTTTTGCTGAAGGCAGTCGGTCAGGTTATTATGTGGGAGAAATGCAAAGAACTGTTCCAGGAAAACCCTTTCTAGACTAGCATCAGGCTGAGACCACAAACACCCACCTCCTTCATTAGAGGTTATCAAGATTTGGCCAACCAGCCATGCCAGAAGTCATGGGTAGGTCAGTCAAGGTTAATGTTATGTTTCGGGTAACTGTATAATTTATCATCCAATTTAGAACACTGCGGATGAAGGGGAAGCTATTGATAAGTATGCCAGAACAGCAGGCACAAACTCACCTAAATATTTTGATCCGAAGTTGTACTCAGAACCACCATTAAAGAGGTTTTTAAAATTAAAACCTCAGTTTTTTTTAGAGAGGCAAAGAAGCAAATAGAGCTGAATCTTTGTATAAACACCATCAAAATGCCCTGGGTTTGTCCTGGAGTCAATACAAATTCAGCTTAAACAATTACGTATCAGTCAGTGCTATCCAAAAGATCTGTGGTGATGGGAACGTTTTACCTGCACTGTAGTCCCTAGATGAATTCTGACTGAACTCTTGGAATGTGGCTATTGCAACTGAGAAATTTGGATTTTTCATTTTAAATAGCCATATGTGCCTAGAGATTCCAAAGAGTACACATGTATGCTTCTCAATCCCTGAGATATTTGGAAAATTATACTGGAAGTCACCCTTAAGTATTTTTGATTGAGGATAAATGAATTTTCTCCAAACTCTATTTGGCTTAGGAAATAACTGATATATTTTAGTTTTTTGGCATTAAGAATTTGAAAAGGACCTATGACTAGTTTTCAGGTAAAAGTCAACTGAGCCACAACATACAGAGCATGCTATTTAAGCTTTTACTTTGTAATCAAGTGACTTAGCCCCCTCTCATGAGTATTACCCGGTAAAGCTGCAGAGAAGACTTGAGACCCGTAAGGCTGGACTTTGGTGGAGTCCAGTGGTCGGTAACATCAGCTATGTCATACAGCCAGTGGATCAGCTCGTCTAGCTGACAGCAAAATGTCTGTGTGGACAAATAAAAGACACATGCTGTTTACATTTTCAAAAGGCTAAAAATATCCAGGGGATTCTGAGCTGGACTGTGCACCAGTCCAGAGCATTCCTTCCCTTGAAGCTTTGGTCTCTTGTCCTCCCTGCCTGTCCGCACCCCGTGACTCCAGACCTCTGCCAGGGCAACAGGAATAGCCCACCTTGGTTCCGTCTCCCCTCAGCCTGATGTGACACAAAAATGAGACGCAGAAAAGCCAGCCCTGCATGGGGACAGAGCAGAGGTGAGGGCAGGGATGGGAAACAGCACAGGAGAGGTATGCCTGCCACAGAAACCAGTTGCTGGCTCAGCACCACTATCGGCCTGTTCCTGGGGAAAATGTGGACGTAAATGACTGGTCATGACTCACCTGAATGTTCGGCTGACAACTGACAATGCACGCCCGTTGTGCCTCTACACTGCTCAGGGAGTAGGGCCCCTAGAATCCTGCCAGCGACTCGCCCTGGGAAGGCTGTGAACCAAGCACTTTACCTCATCATATTTATCACAAAGGAGAATACATGCTAACATTTCTCCTACCTGCTTACAGTTCAGATGAAATCATGCATGGTTATTGCACAACTCCAGTTCTAGGAACCATCTCCTGGGTGCACGGCCCTCTGGCTGGCCACCTTGCTGCGGTGCAGATGTGGGCATTCACGTGCTCACCTGGGGCTCTCCCAGTGTGCGTGCAGAGCCACATTTCTGAACATACCTGTGTCAGGACTATGCAGATCCCACCCTCTCTCAACACGAATTATTTCATTTAATCCACACAACACCCTGAAGTGTCAAATCTCGTTTTTAAAAAGCAACTCAAGAGATTGAGCTGAATTCCAAAGATAGCAGTGCCATGATTCAAATTCAGCTCAGCCTGATGCTGACATCCCTGTAATTCATTCTATCTCCAGATATTCTGGGGAGGTCCATGAGAGGGTCAGTGGCCAACCAGCTGAGGAAACGGTTTAGCTAATAGCCCCTAATTCTGCACTTTATTACGTTGAAGCTCTGAGAAGGCCTGCAGTCACGAGAGCACTTGTGCAGAGCACCTCTTGATCTTCAAGGTCAAGAGCCTGGGGAAGCAGCTTGGGGTAGCAGTCAAGATCTCCGGCTCCAGCCCTTGCTAGCTAACCGAAAGTGGGCAGGTTGCTTAACCCTTCACCACCATTTTCTCTGAAAAATGAGAACAGTCCTTATTGGGTAGTGAGTTGTGAGGATTAAATAGGATAAGGTACAATACAGTGCCTGGCACATGAAGTGTGATCAGTGTTACTAAGTTTTGTTATTAAAATCAGTGGGCAGGGGGAAGAAATGGGGCACCTTTGCACAAGCCTCTTAATGTCGTTTACCTTCACACAGTGCATGAGTGATTCTTTTCCCTGCTCTCGTCCTCTCCTGGGAGACTGCCCTTTACGGTCTGGGTCCGAGAATGTCTGCTGGTCCACAATGACTGGTAAAGAGGAGCGTGTTCTCAGAGGCCCACAGGAGACCCCCAGCGCCTGGCTGCGCACCAGGCTGCCGTCCCCTGCGGAGTCTCTCGCACGGAGAAAGGAGCGGAGCAAACAGTGGTTCTGCTCCTCAAGCCCCCCGGGCCCTCTGGAGACAGAGGGAAGCTGGCTTTGGCTGGAATCCGATGGGAAGGAAGTGGGCCCATCACTGTTCGACACATCCAGGGAGCTCTGCCCTTCGGCAGCTCCAGCGGGCAGGGTCACCAAAGTAGGAACAGAACCCAGATACGAAACCAAGCTAGAAACCTGTGTCAGCCGAGCGGGCAGGGCAAGATACTCGTCATCACTCTCCGAGTCCTCTTCTGGCTTCCATCCAGACTCCACGCAGGCAGGGCGCTGGACACCTTGGCCAGCCCCCTCCTCTCTCCCTGGCCCGGATGAAGGCCATCCTCTGTCCCATGTCCTCAGTTGGGGAGAGCCCACCTCGAGGTGCTTGCCCACGGTCCGCCAGTCCTTCACACCCCTCAGGGCTGGCTCTCTCCTTTCCCAAACAGTGTCCTTGCTGCCTGCAGCCCTGGGAGTAGATGTGAGCCGGCTGCCCTGCTCCTGGGGTCCTCCAGAGTGCGACCGTTTAAAGCTTGGCTCTCTGGGCCCAGAGGATGGCAGGGCACTGGCTTCCGCTGGTGGGCAACTGTGGGAGACATTAGTGGGTGACTTCAGAGTGCTTGCTGGGGAGACAGAAAAACTATCCAGGTCTACACCTGAATCCTGCAGGACAGGGTCAGCCAGCATGTGGCTGTCAAGATGCCTCGGGAGCCGAGGCCTGGGCCTAAGTGGGTAGGTATAGTCCAGCAGCTCTTCATACTCTTTGTTCGGGTTCCACAGAGGGGAGCGGCGGTCGGGGGAAGGCGGCAGGGAATCTGGCAGTACGCAGGCCCAGTACTCGGCTTGGAAGGATAGATGCCTCCTGCGCAGCCCAGGGGCATCACCCCCAGAGGACACAGGCTGTGGAGACCACTGGAGCTGAGGCCCTGGTCCCACCATGGAGGGGGCCGACTGGGAGCCAACCAGCTCCAGGGAGGGGGAGACCTTGGCAAGAGAGCAACTTTGAGGCTCTGTCTTCTCTTGGTGTCCTTGGGAACTGCTGCCAGGGGGTGAGGCAGAGACACTGCGGCTGGAAAACGGAGCAGTGGCACCTGGGCTCACCATGGACCTCCACTTTGACGAGAAAGGGAAACCTGAGATGTGAGGCTGTCGGCTGAGGGCCAGCACCCGCGGTGACTCCACGGGGGATGGGTCATCTTCGGTATCAGCATCATGTCCTGAGCAAAGGGCTGTGGCTCTGGGAGCAGTTGTAGTCTGAGGTAGCTCTTCTGAGGCAGAAAGCCTGGTGTCCTCCATCTGCAATGAGAAGAGGGAAGAAAAGGTGATAAGTAAGCTACACTTTTTTTTTTTTTAAACACAGATGCATCATAGTTTTATTTCTTTTCTAAAATATAGTATGTATATATTTTATTGAGAGAGAGGGGTAGAGAGATAGAAAGATGGATGAGAGAAGAATATCACTGATTGGCCGCCTCCTGCACATCCCTACTGGAGATCGAGCCCGCAACCCAGGCATGTTCCCTGACCAGGAACTGAACCTACGACCTCCAGGTTCCCAGGCTGATGCTCAACCACTGAGCCATGCGAGCTGGGCTACATTTCTTTCTTAGGTGATAAACCGGGAGTTTTCTTTGGAGAGCCCAGACGACATTCAGGAGAGGTTTTGACATGAGTCTGCTACCCAATGCAAGAATCAGATAGAGTGCTGCTAGTGGCAGCGTGAGACTTCCCCAAACTGATCCCACCCTCAGTCCTTTCAAGAGTTCTTCCTCGCCCTAACCGGTTTGGCTCAGGGATTGAGCGTCGACCTTCGGACTCAAGGGTCCCAGGTTCGATTCTGGTCAAGGGCATGTTCCTTGGTTGTGGGCACATGCCCAGTGGGAGGTGTGCAGGAGGCAGCTGATTGATGTTTCTCTCTCATCAATGTTTCTATCTCTCTCTCCCTCTCCCTTCCTCTCTGTAAAAAATAAAATTAAAAAGAAAAAAAAAGTTCTTCCTCCACAGACACTCTGCCTGCGAGAACTCGAGCGCGTTAGCATGCAGAAGCTGGAACACACTGACTAGCCTTTTAGAAAAGGATAGCTGAAGCCTCAGTCATTCTGTCACTGACAGAGACACATCCAAACACGCAGCTCAGCTCAGATGCCAGTGGTAATGAACACTGGCAAAATGATCATTCGTCTCAGCCTCTTTACTCTGAATTTTTTATCTGCTTGATGAAGAACTTACCCTGAGGGAGGCAGGCAGCATAGTTACAGCCATGGGCTTTGGAACAGACAGACCTAACTGCCACCTCCCAGATGTATAACTTTGAGCCTTGCTTCCCACACCTGTAAAGGGGGGATAGTAATAGCACCACTTTCTCAGGACATGAGGGTTATATGAGCTCATGTATGAAAAGCACAGGGTGAGAGCTCAACACACAATAAGCAACAGACTCACATCATGAAACAGCCCAGTCGGCTTATGTCCTGCCTCCCTGAATCTCTGACTCAGAGGTTCCCTGAGCCTCCCACCGCCCTGGCTCCCACACAGGTGGGCCCAGCCTCTGTTTTCTCCCACAGTCACGCTCAGAGGCTCCTCGCAGAGTGAGGCTCCATAGGGGCAGCATGCAACAGCCAAGGCCATAATGACAGCAAAGAGATCAAAGTCATTCCCATGAAAGGGCTTGGCAAGCAGAGCATAATAGGATGTCAGAGCTGGGAGGGACAGGTCACACAAGTCACCTTCCAATTATTCTGAGGGCCTGAAAGATGCGGTGATTTGCCTGAGGTCACAGAGGCAGGCAGGGCTCCTTGCTCCATGTGATTCCTATAGGCAAGACTGCCCTGCACTCGGAGGCGCAAAACAAATTTCCTTGCCCAGCAACAGTGCTGCCATCACAGGGCAGCTTTGTGAGGTTCCCTGGGTTCCAAGGACATAGAGCCCTCAGGAGACCACAGCTCTGGGCCCTCCTTCCTCATGTCTTCTCAGGGCCCCCCTGAGGCCTTAGATCACCACGTCAGAAACAGGACAGGGCTCCCCTATTGAGAGCACTCCTGGCCCTACCCTCTGGGTCATTAGTCTCTTAAGGAACAGGAGATGCTGTGGACAGAGCCCCCTGCTGGTCCCAAGGCCCAATTCTCCAGATGAACCTGTATAACAGAAATCACCATTTTATAGCCAGACTTCCCCAATGCTCCACCTTGTACAGGGACTGGGGAAGCATGTAAAATGGTGACAAAATGCTGGAATACACTCCCAAAAGACAGCATTAGGCAACTGTACAGTGCCACTGACCTTAGTAGCTACCTGGCTTCCCACAGAATGCAGATCTCCTGGCCCCACATTGGCAGGAGGAGGCAGGCCACTGAGAGCAGGCTGAGATGCACCAGCTACTGGCTCCCTGCTGGTGTTGCTGGCCTGTGACTGGCAGGCTCCAGAGGGGCAGCAGACAGGGGCAGGGGGGCCCTCTGTCTCCCACACAGGGGAGGCAGACCCTCCCTCAGCTTCCAGTCGTGGTGGCTGCTCCCCACTCACAGGCCCTGGGGTGTCCCCCTCCTGCTCTCGGCAGTTCCAGCGCCCACAGGACGGGGCCTCTGAGTCCAGGGATGCCTCCACGCCTGCCTTTTCTTCTCCCAGAGCCATTGGTGCGTCTCTAGGTCTGGATTCCCTGAAGCCTTCGGCTGCCTATGAAGTGGGAAAGGGAGACAAAAAGGTAAATTCTCTACATCTGTGTCCAGACAACCTTGCTTTTTAATGATTAAGAAAACCTTTTTTATTTTTGGCCAAAGGAAAACAAACAAATAAATGATGGCCACTTCCTTAGAGAAGAACAGAAGCCCAGGTTCAGCGTTCCCTTGGTCCCAAACCCTTCCGAAGAAGGCAGGAACACAACATTTGTCCTCTACTTTTATGTGGCCAGCTCCAGCAGTAGGTCCCAGGAGGGCCACTGCAGGTCCAAATCAGAGTCAAGGCTTAGCCCTCACTAAAGTCACCTTTTCGTCCCTGTCCCTTCAGCCCAGCCCCACTGGGCAAGAGGCCTGGCCTGTGCCAGCCCAGCTGTGGGTCTGTTGTTGAAATGTCAGCAGGTGGCTCTGACTTGGCACTGACTGCTCTGCTCTGCAGAGCAAGTCAGGGCACACCCAGGCCTCGGCTGAACCCAGGGTGCTCCCTCAGTGCCACTCTGCCCTGCAGAGAAGGCAGGACCCTCTCAAAGCACAGAAACCATGCCCCAGGTTGAGAAAAGAGAGACACACAAGGCAGCAGGCAAGGAGGGAAGAAGGAACACGTAGGAGGCGGATCTGAAAACAGGTCTGTTGCTATAAGAGCTTTGGGAGCAGAAGGAGACCCCCTGAGACTAAGCGTGTAGGCAAGGGCTGCTGCTGGGAGCACAACTATGGGAGGACTTCGAAGGGGAACAAGGGATCCTTGAGCACCCAGGATTTCAGCAGCTGCCTGAAGTACAGTGGGCCAACCCCAAAGCTAAAACTTGAACACAAATAGCCTTGTTTCTTCAGAGACCAGGTGAGTGATAGCAAGGAGGTGGGAAGTCTGAGAAAGTGTAGGAAGCCGTGCATGTCGGCTTACCCTGCTCAGCTCACACAGGAAACACAACTATGTGAGGACAGCTATCCCGAGACCATCCATACAGGAGGACCCTGCCTGCCTGCCTGCCTGTCTGGGCACTTGGGGCTCTGAGCCACTTCAGGGGCCTCCCTAGGGAAGAGCACACACGTCACATGTACTCCTGCTTCTCACAACCACCACATGTGGCATACACTAATCAGGAAAACTATTTTTTTTTTGGACAATTTCAATATATGGCTGAAAAATTAAATGTACCCTCCGCTCTTGTCCCTGTTCCTCCCTAAAACGAGCCAGTGCATGCAGGGCACCACGACAATGCCTGGCAGTGTCAGCCAATGCCACCACTATCAAGGGGGCCGTGTGCGACCCAGATTCAGCGTAACAAGTTACAAGGAACAAAGTCCAAGAGAAGGAGAAAAAGCAATCTATTTTTCATATAAATCAAGCAAAATATTTACTATTAGATAATTACACACACACACACAAAAGGCAAACAGTCTCATTAATTTTGTGTATCATCTGATGCATATGCAGACAAACACAAAAATCTATTTCATCATTCTCCCGTTTTGTTTTTTTACTTAAAAATAGCAAAATGTATAAAGCATGTTTTTCTTTCCTATCAAACAAAATCTCATAAGAGATCATTCCTTAGCCTTACACAGAGCTTCCTCGTTCTTCGTATCACTGCCCAGTACTGTAGTCCACTGTAAGACTGCACACTAGTTCATTTCACCGGTCTCTTACCAGTGGACATTGGGTTATTTCCAATCTTTTGCTGTTACAAACTGCTAAGGTGAATGACCACACACACACACATCACTGGCACGCATGCTAGCCCCCCCCCACAGCATAAATAGCCAGAAGTAGAACTGCTGAGGCCAACGGTACCTGCATTCGTACTTTGGCATATGCTGTCAAGTGCCCTCTATGGGATGGCATCGATTTACACTCCCACCAGCAGCATGTGAGAGTGCCAGTTGGCCATGGGAGGCAGGTCCTCTTATTCATTTCACAGACGGAGAAACCAAGGCTCAGAGAGATTCCACTCCAGAGCTGTGTGACCCCAGAACTAAGCTCTTTTCGAACCAATGAGGGAACAAGTCACCAAGCAGAGGCACACAGAGTGGAAGAGGGAAGAGACTGGCAGAGGGACAGAGATGAGTGACCAAGTCCTGCCGGGACAGGTTTTCATGGAGCCACATCCTCACCTTGTGGCTACTTAAGAAACTGCAATGAAGAGGTTTACAGGCAAACTGTTCTCACAATGAGGGCGACAGACTGAGTCCATGAGCAGGAAAAATCAGGGTGATGGCTGAACCTGACCCGTCCTCTAGCTTCTACTTCTTGCTCCGTCCCTAAACTCCCTTACTGGCTGGTGTTGGGCCCTGACAGGTGGCAGCTAATCTCCCTTTCACGCCCTGACTTCCCCCCTCCACTAAAGCGTGTGGTTTTGAGATGGGGCTGGATTAAGAAGATGCTGGGCAAAAGAGGGGTGCAAACGAATGCCCTCTGTCTTTGTTTTGATGTTTTGTTTTCTGTCTTGTCTGGATTCCAAAATAGAAGGTGTCCATTTATCCCTGGGGGGTTGTGATTTAGAAATATAAGCTCTTCAGGAGACACCTCTGGTAATTTTCAAGTATACACACAAACCTCAACTAGGTTATCAGGGTCGCCAGAGGCCTTTTAGCAACCAGGTTGGAGATCTGAAATTCAAAGACTTTCATGGAAATGGTACTTCTGAAAAGACAGATTACATAGGTGGTTATTTTCTCATCTGGATAAGCAGTCCCTTCATAATCTCACTTATCTGTCTGACAAATCCTTTGCTCCCTGTGCTACACAAGTTTATTATGAGAACACAGATACATATAAAAGAATAAAAAGAAGCCCGTGAGAGTTCATTCAAAATCTATAATAATAAAAGGGTACTATGCTAATTAGACCGAATGAAGGCAGGGCTTCAGGCTGCAAGGGAAGCCCGGGTCCCGGGTGCCAGAGGGAAGCTGGTGTCGGCAGCCAGGGGAAGGAAGGCCTCCTCTTACGTGAATTTCAGGCACTGGGCCTCTAGTTGTATATAAGATACTATAGAATACAGAGAAGGGAGAAAGTCACCTGGGCACAGATAATGAGGGAAAACTCCTTGAAGTAATGACTGCTGAAGGCAGACCATTTAAAAAATGTCAATCATGTTGAAGAAAACAGTGGCCTAGCAAATGCCCAGTTTTGGATTTCCAGGGCTTTACCCTGTCTGCACTCGCCAGGTGGGCATCTGTAATACTGCACGAAGGTCCAGCCCTCACTTACAGATCCTAGATTTTACACATCATCCTTTCTGACCATCCGGGTTTGAGAGTGGAGGTGTGGATCTGCTTGGACTCTTCCAATGAGAGACAGCTTACTCCTTTTCAAAATACCCAATGATCTACGCTCAGTCTGATAAAAATGACTTGCTGGGCTGGACCAACACTGTCCCTGGTTAGTAGTTTTAAACAACCCGGTATTCTATGTGGAGGTTCCCTGCTCTTAGCTCACACATTTCACAGTGCTCCGGGGGCCAGCAGCCTCGTGGCGGGCAGAGGCCTCAGTTGGCCTAATGGAAGCACCAGTAGATTGCATTGAGCGACTGGAGGCCTCAGAGCACAGACAAAGAACAATGAATCCAACCCTCCCATCTGAGAAGGGTCTGTACACACCATATCCGCCAAACCAAGAGACAAGGCACACGAGCTTCAGGATATTCTGGGGACCACCTGCACTTTGCTGTTAAAATTCTCCACTAGCTTCCAGGGCTTGCAGAGGCTGCATGACCCACCAGATATAATTAGGGGTGATGTAGGCTGGCTTGGCTTACTCCTCCCCTACAGTAAAAATATGCTCACACATCACGCATGTGGTAACACTAACTCCATGAGCCTGGACATCTGACCCTTCCTGGTGCCTGGTGCATCACCCTTGTGCAGCCCTGTCCCAGCTGCCAGGGCCTCCTCCCATTGCTCCTATCCCGGATGGAGGAAGGAGAACTGTGAGGGGGGGAGGAGGGTGTTCGAGGGGGAAAGGGGAAGGGGTGTGTGTGTATGTGTGTGTGTGTGTGTGTGTGTGTGTAAGGATGCAGTTCCTCTTTTCGATAAACCATTCAAATATGCACATGATAAGCTAGGGAGAAATCCTCCTCTGATCAGAAAAGGTCTTTCCCAGGATTCTTTAAATCATGAGCTCCCTTTGAAACAATCTGATTTACACCAACTTTTTCTGGGAAGGGCCGTCTTTGTACCTGAGCGTGCAGACAGCCACCTGCACCAGCAAGGGCAAGGTGCTTCTTGACATAGCAAGCCCTACCACTTCAGGGGCCAAACCCCAACTCTCCTTGTTGTTTTCACAGGAGGCCACAGGTGTACGTGGCAAATGCCATGCACACAAAGGGGCAGACTGACCAGAGAACCAGACAAAGAGGCTCTCAGTGCCGCTCTTTCTCACAGAACATGAAACTGCCCCCCAGGAAAGGGGAGGGGAGGGGAGGGGGAGAACCCAGTGCTGTAGGTTGCTGGAAGGCTTCTGGGAACTAGATTAATGGGGGGAAAAAGCTTTAAGGCAGAAGCTCATCTATGTGTGGGAGGCAGCATGAAAGGGGGTAAAGACATATGTGGGGGAGGCCAACAAAGGGGGCAGTCACAAGAGGCCCAGGCCTGCCTCAGAGCAGGGTGGACACCAGCAACACAATGGCCAGAGGTTTGAGAAAGGGAGGCCAATGGCCAAGAGCAACTGCCGTTCCACCTGCTCCCTCCCTGGCTGGAGAAGCCTGAAGCCCCTCAGTCCTCCACACTGGTTCCGTTTTCCCCGTAAGGCAGGTCACCGTAAGTGCTGGGGCCCCTCCTTTGCAAGTGGAAATACAGCAAAGTGAAGAGGAAGACCAGGCTTAAACCTGCAGAGGGGGAGATATGACTCCAATGGGCTGATGCCATCCTCAGGATCCTTGGGCATCAGCAACCCCTTCTCTGCCCCTGCCACCCCCGCCCCCACCCAGGGCTGCTTTCCCACCTTTTGCTTAGTAAAAGGTCCTCTGGGCCCTAGGAGGAGCCATTGGGTCCTTCCAGATCAATGTGTGGGAAGGCTGCTGCCAGGCCGCCCTCGCTCGCGCGTTCTCTCTCTCTCTCCCTCTCTCACCCACCCACTCACCGCTGGCTGATTGACAGGGACCACCGGACAGCCTCACAACAGGCCAATCTTCTCAGTTGTCGTGAGAAGTCTTTGGGTGACATTTAGAGACGCAAGTGCCACATCTACAAGGAACTTAGGACTGAGCTCCCAGCCACCCCTCCCCTCAACCCCAAGCTCTCCTTAGCAGTCAGCAGACTGTTCCCATCCCACGAAGCTCAAAGTGTGAGGATGAGGAGGACTGAACATGTCAATTAACTGTACCCTCTGTTCCCACCAAAGAGCAAGGGAGAAAAACAGCTTCTCAGAAACAAAAATTGCTCCTACTGTCCCAGGAAGCTGGCCCTGGATCGGTTCCATAAGCCACTGCTTTTGCTGTACTGACAGTCTGCTGTGAGCTCACTGGGCTACACAAATGAAGACTGGTAAGAATCTTGGTGAACTTCTCAAGAGAGGCTATGAAGAATGTTACTCAACCAAAACCAAAGGGTCCTATTAGAGAACCCATGAGACAGGGGTTCTCTGGTCTCAGTAAGAGAAGCAGCTGATTCACTGAGCAGCCAGTTGGTTTTTACCAGTATTTTATAGCTAATGGCGAAACTGAATTTTAAAAAATATTTCCTCTTTGCTATGCTGCTAAGAAACTCAGGACCAGATCTGTAGTCCCACCAAAGCAAAATATATAGAACAAAGAGGCAGTCATTTTTTGTACTGATCTTACCCTTGACTTCTCTCTTCTTTTATCCTGTCTCAATACTTTCACTAAAAATCCTGTTACACTTAAAAGTATCCTGGAGAGATGCCTCAAATCACTTTTTGGAACAAAATATTGATAAGAGGAACTGTTAAAAACAGAATGACAGGGGGAAAGCTCCTAAATCCAAGATTTCATCACAATACCACAGAGAACAAAACCTGTTATCAGTGCTTCTAAAAAACAATGCAGATGCTCTTATTACCCTGTTTCCCCGAAAATAAGACAGTGTCATATTAATTTTTGCTCCCAAAGATGCCCTAGATCTTATTTTCAGGGGATGTCTTATTTTTCCATGCGCTAGGTCTTATTTTCGGAGGATGTCTTATTTTTGGGAAAACACGGGTAGTATCTTTCTATTCAAAGTGTGTGTGTGGTCCACGGACCAGCAGCATCTACATCACCATAGAGCTTGTTGGTTGGAAATACAGATTCAAGTGTATTGGAAATACACTTGGAATCAGAATCTGTACTTGAGCACGATGTCCAGATGACTGGTAAGCAAACTGTTTCAGAACACCAGGTTAGAACCCATTTGTGCACTGTGAGGCAGAACTATAATGGTTTGTGCACATTCACTGAGTGCCTATCTTATGCCGGACACACAGAAGAAAACTGATGGCCCTGTCCTTAATGCCTTTCCAATAGGACACTAGGAAAAGCTCGCATCTTGTGGCGGGTTTGTAATGGCTAATTATAGAATATCACAGCTGGATGGGAATCCCCAGAAAGAACAGCATTCCACAGAAAGGATTTAAGATTCCCTGTGGCTTCAGTAAAAGCAGAATCAGAGATCGGAATTTTCCACAAGTAGTGGTTTTGTTTTGGAAACTCCAAATAATTTAAGAGAAACTGGTGTGCAAAGGGAACCTACAGCTGGAAGGAAATGTATAACTTAGCCTGCTTCCTGCGGCCAGCAAGTGGCACAGGAAAACCTGGAAGTGAGGCACTCTCCCCTGGGGGTTATATCTGCAACACTAAGGCTGGCACTAGGTCTAGAACCAACAGGAAGATTTCTTCCACTTTTCACGTTATGAACAACTTTCAAGACAGGAACCAGTTTCTTCCTGAGAACAGATTTGTTGTAAGGAGAGAGAGACCCCAGGCTCTGCCTCTTTCTGGCTGAACTAACCAACCATCCTAAAGATTTTCTGTCAGCTACCCCAGGACCCTTTTACTCCTCTGCTCATTTTGAGTAAGAATACCATCAGAATACCTGCCAAAATGTTATCTGGCACTTCATTCTCTAGTCACTAGTGGGTCGCAAGACTAAAAGCATGAAGAGCTAATTTCTATGGAATAGAGGCATACCTTGAGACACCGTGGGTTCAGTTCCAGACAACGGCAATAAAATAAGCAATAAAATAAGCACGGCAATAAAATGAGTTATATTTTTGCTTGAAGGGCCTTGCCTTCCATTTATATAAAATGCAACATGTGTGCAACACAATAAAATGAAGTTTGCCTATATGCACTTTTACTGAGGGAGGTTGGAGTGGGATCTGAAAAAGTTTAAGGGATTTTTTTAAAATCAAGAAACACATAGGACAAGTCTTAAAGAGTCAAAAACAATGCAGATATAAAGGGCCTGAATGTGTTCAAGTACCTGTTTATTTTTTATAACAACCACTAACAGCTACTGAACATTTCTGGTGTGCCAAGGGCTATGCTAAGCACTTTCTATTACTTAGTCCTCAGAACCCATGGAGTAGCTCCCATTTTACAGATGAGGAAACTGAGACCCAGAGAAGTTTAATCACTTGTCTAGAGTTAGTAACATGGAAGAGCTAAAGTCTGATTTGACTTGAGTGCCAGAGGTCGAGGCCTCCCTGCCCTGTAAGAATAATTGGTCTAACAAGCTAATGTGAGTACAGTTTTTGTTTTGTAAACTTTTGGGCCATGCAGCTGACTTTTTTTGTGTGTGTGTGTGTGTGTGTGTGTGTGTTTTGTTTTTTTTGGCTCCCTTCAGCCAGAATGACTTGTGTTCCAAGCATTGTGCTAGGGGCTGGGGAAACCACACAACAGCAACAGAAGGTAGCCTACAGGAGGGAGTGATTATTAGTTGGTGGGGAGGATTTGGAAAAGCTTTAGAAAGCATTCCCAAAGAATGCCTGAGTCCTGTACCGAGTGACCCGGTATTGATGGACCCAAGTGGAGGAAGAAGCAGGGATGAGAAGTTGTGACTTCTACTTCTTTTAACCAAGCTCTAGAGTCTAGACCCTTGATTTCTTTCTTTTTAAATACATTTTTATTGGTTTCAGAAAGGAAAGGAGAGGAAGAGGGAGGGAGAGACAGAGAGAGAGAGAGAGAAACATCAATGATGAGAAAGAATCATTGATCAGCTGCCTCCTGCATGCCCCCTCCTGGGGATCAAGCCAGCAACCCAGGCATGTGCCCTTGTGACTAGAATTGAACCCTTCTGCTCGCAGGCCCGTGCTCTATGTACTGAGCCAACCAGCTAGGCTTGATTTCTAACATCACACACTTTGTCAAGCATTTTAACAACATTCTTCACACCCAATATCCTGAAACTGTTAGGGTATTTACCAACGGCTAGCTATCTTCCCACTACCTCCCCCCACTCCCCAGTGAACTCCCAGTGACTGGTCCAATGTGCTCTGGCAGGTTTCCGCTCATTTTTATGTGACAAACAATACACCCACCGAACTCAACCTCTTAATCCTAAATGAAGGGCCTGAAACAGGCTTTGGCCAGCGTGCCCCTGGGCTGCAAACAGCAGTTCCAGCGACGGCAGCTGGAAAGGGCGGCCTCCCAGGCATGGGAGATACCGTGCGTGTTCCCTCGAACAGCTGCATCCCAGGGGAGCATCGTTCCTCTTCCCCGTGGGAACGGCCCTGAGCTGGGGCGCCCGGGTCCGAGTCCCTTACACCCCGGGGCACCTCGGCGTGGGCGCGGGGTAAACAGCACCCTCCAGGGGCTAAGCCCTGAGGGGCAGGGAGCTCCCGGGAGGCAGAGGCCCACCGGCGCCCCAGTTGCGAGTTCGAGCGACAACGCATCCCCTACCCCACCCCCCACCCTCCGCCGCACTCAGGCTTCCCCAGTCCGCCTCCGCGCCCCGACCCCCGGCCGCGACCCGCCCCCGCCGTTCCGTCCGCAAAATGGAGGCGAAGGCACGAGGCGCCCCTACGCCCAAAAAGCTTTCGTGCCCTCCCATTGGGGGGGAAGGGGCGGGGGGAGAGACACGGGAGGCTCAGCAGCCCGCCTGGTCTCCCAGACCCGGAGACACCGAAGGGCACAGGGGGCCGGGTCGCGCGGGAGGGGACTGCCGGGGCCGCCGCCTCCAGCCCCGCGAATTCCCCGACACCGCGCCGGGCGGGCACCACCTACCGCGCCTCGGACGCTCCGGACGCCCCAAGCAGGCCTGCGGCGGCCCCGGCAGCCCCAGACGGCAGCCCCGCGGCCGGGCTCCAGGTGCAAACCGCTGCCCTCGCGCGGGAGCCCCAACGCTCGGGGCGGGGCCAGTGCCGGGTACGCCCTTCGCACCCGCCCGCCTCCGGGCGGAGGGAGCCTCTGGCGAAGCGCGGCCAATCGTAGCCCTCGGCCCGGAGAATTGGCCAATGCGCGTCCCGCTCCTGCAAGAAGGGCCCACCCCTTGTGACGTAGGGGCGCAGCGGAGGCCGGATCTTCTTCGGGCTCTGGGCCTGCTCCCGCCCGTCCGCCCTCCCTCCCTCCCTCGCCTTCTGCGCGCGCGGCTCACGTTCGCTGGTTCGGCGCCCCCCAGTGGGGTCGTGCGAGGGCGCGGCGCCTGGCGGCGCGGCGGAGGGTGCCGCGGCGCTCTTTCCCTGCGCGGAGGCCGCGTGGTTAGTTTGCTTTCGCTCATTCATTCATTTTGCTCAGAGCGCACTGCTCCATGCTCCGCGCGCCGCTAACGGGATTCCGCTGGGCAGTAAACGCTAGAGCTGTGTCACTGCTGGAGAGGGGGCAGGGGAAGGGAGGTTAGAGTTTTGTTTTTTGTTGTTTTTTTAAATAAATCTTTATTGCTCAGATTATTACATTTGTTTCTCCTTCTCCCCCCCATAGCTCCCTTGGGAGGTTAGAGATTTTGTCTGGCCCAGGAGTCACAAAGTTTTGACAGCAAGAGCCGAAACTAGCCCACAGATGTTTTTGTTGGTTTGTTTTTAGCAGAATTTAAGCCCAAAGGACAGCAGCACTTGTGCGTTAAGTAACAGCCAGCCTATAATACATTTGTTACCTGACTGACATCTGAAGGCATTTGTGTTTGTGACCCTTGGTCTTCTCAGAACATACAGCTGGAAAGAGAACAGGTCCAGTGGAGGACCAGGGCACCAAATTCAACGGAAGGGAACTTGCGGGGAAAGGGGCATGGCGGGGAGGAGAGGGATCAAGGCTGAATGGATAAGATTTAAAAAGTCCAAGGGACTTCTAAGGGGTAAAATTTGACATAGCAGACTATGAGCGGAAAGGTAATTCTGAAGTTAGCAGAAGACCCAGCACAGCCCTGACCGGCTGTGTGTCTGGTCCCGTGTCAAATCCTACCACCTTCATCAGGCCCACCCTGAGCTCAATCAGATGTGCACGCTCCCTCCTTGGAACTCTGCAGCACACCATGTGTTCCTTTCCCGTGGCCTGTTTCATTGTCCACCCCGCATGGTGTCCTCACCTGTAAGAGGGGATTGGGTGGGTGACTCCTGAGGGTCCTTTCAGTTCTGACATTCTGTGATTTTGTGTCGTAAGCATCTTTTGTTTTTGCCTGACAAGTAATTTTTTTCTTTGAGGAATGGCCTAAAATCCCCTGGATCAGATGGTTCTTAAGGGCTCCCAAGTCAGGAAGGGAGGGAAGAAAGGGAGGCATGATGCTCAGGCCTGGCCAACTCTCGCCCCCTCCTCTAGTCCTCATCGGTGTGACCCAACCTGAGGTGGTATGAGCCCTTGTCTGGGGTTTCAGAGAGGAGGCTGGGAGAGAATGGCTCATTCTTTTCCTGTGTATGCGAATAATCCTTACAGTAAAGAGCTGGAGAACCAGGTCCCGAAATGGGAGGAACGCAGGAAGGCCAGGCAGCGATGATCGGCGAAAGCCATGCTGCTCAAGAGCTCTGATTGGAGTGCGGCCTGCACTTCTCATCTTGCCATGAATTGCTTTTCAACCCTTCTGTGATATTAACTATCCTCTCAAGATTCATGTTTGTGGCTGAAACGGGTTTGGCTCAGTGGATAGAGCGTCGGTCCAGGATCGATTCCTGTCAGGGGCATGTACCTTGGTTGCGGGCACATCCTCAGTAGGGGGTGTGCAAGAGACAGCTAGCTGATTGATGTTTCTCTCTCATCGATGTTTCTGACTATCCCTCTTCCTTCCTCTCTGTAAAAAATCAGTAATAATATGTATATATATATTTTAAAAAAGATTCATGTTTGTGGTCAGGATCACTGACTTGGCCTAGTGTAGGTCATGTGCCTGTGTTCCGAGAGGCAAGGAGAGTTCTGGTTTCTGCTGTGTCTTCTACTGGACTCATTGGCTTCTAGTGTGAGAGGGGGGCCCGAGACTCAGAGTGGGGTGGGCTCCCCCCAATTTCAAAGGCTCTTATAAAGATCCTGGGTAGCCAAAAAGAACTCTAGTCCATTTCTTAAGCCAAGGAATGCCCAACAGCCACAGACATGCTTTACCTAGTGCTCTCAAATTAATTAATTTATTTTTATTTTTGCACCAAACACATTGCATTTATTTTCAAATGCAAATAACAAAGACCCATTTTACCAGCTTTACTTTTTAAACCTAAGCTTAATATTACACATTTAAACAACTGTCAAAACTTACTAAGTTGCCAGCATTCATGCACAACTAGAAAACATCCTCCATTTATACTAAACCAGAGATGTATTACCATGGATGCATTAGTACCTTTCACTACTCAACACGGAAAGACTGAAACTGCTCTGGGGGGCGAGTCCTGGCAACGCGAGCTTCACAGCAGGCCACCGCTGCTTGGCTCAGCTTAAACACAACGGAAAGCAGGTTGGTGCTGGTATTAGTGTATGGCGTCACATTTAATAAAAAGCAAAGTGCATTACAGAGATTTACAACAATTGCAAAGACCAAAAAGAAAAGGTCCTTTCGTGAGGTCCCAACAATAACTCAACAGTCTGACCAACAGGCTCCGATGAGCTGTGTATAAATACTTTAGATTAGGGACAGTTATACTGAAAGTCGAATTCATCTTAAATCTTAAAAAAAAAAAAAAAAAAAAAGTTCCTGTTAGTCCTCAAATGGTGCTAGTTACAGTTAACATCTCTGTTCCATGCGTGTGTGCGTTGAATTGCTTGTTATCCAATCTGCTCCTTACCATTTATCTTCAAGGACTTCAGCTGGCCGTCTTCTTCCACTTCTACCCTCTCTTGGCCGTTCTCGACAATCCTCTTTGTGGTGGTTTTTCTCCCGTTAACAATTCTGGTGGAAGTTGACACGGACTTGAAGTTGCCCATGCCACCGCCACCAAAGGACGTGGAAGGGAATGAATTGAGACGCCCAGGGCCGATGGGCCCGAAGGAAGAAGATCCTGCATCAGAAGATGGAGACTTTCCACCGAAAGCCGAGGACCCCGTGAAGGCGGAGAAGAACGAGGTGGCTCCCCGGCTCCTGCTCCCACTCGGACCCCGCCGAGCTCCAAAGAAGTCATCAAGTGGGTCTTCCGAGAATGAAAACGGGTCCCTTCCACCAAAACATTCCCGGAACACGTCATCCGGCTTCCGGAATGTGAAGCCGAACCCAGACGGTCTGTCGAAGTGACTTCCACCTCCACCTCCGCCGTTGAATCCTCCTTTGCCGCATCTGTCATAGACGTCCCGTTTCTTAGCATCGGAGAGCACCTCGTACGCCTCAGCTACTTGTTTGAATTTCCTCTCCGCTTCTTCTTTATTCTCAGGATTTTTATCTGGGTGCCACTTCAATGCCAGTTTCCGATACGCCTTTTTGATGTCCTCAGCCAACGCATGTCTCTGCACGCCTAGAACCTCATAGAAACCCACCATGGCTCACAGGCTGTTGGAGGGAGCCCTGCAGCACGCGGGGCGGGCGGTGGGGAACTGGTGGGGCGGCAGCCTGGTCTCCTCTTCAGCTTCTGAGTGGAGTGCTGGTCTGTGCTTTCAGATTTAAATAAAAACACTCCCACCCAAGATAATGCAACCATCGCTCTTCCTGCAACCATGAGAATGGACTCATGTCCTCCCCAAATGAGGACTCCGGCTCAGAGTTTCATCAGTTATTGAATCTGGCCCAAGTCCAGATGTGTAGGCGATGATGCAGTTTTCCTCTAAGTTTCATCATCATCATCCTATTTCAGTGTTGTCAAGTACATTTTAAAGCTCACCCTCACTGATATACTTTAAACGCAATAATGAAGAGGAGGGAGACAAAAGAAAAGGACAGTCGCTAAAAAGTCTATAAAGGATACAGCGAGGAAGGAAACGCCCGTAGAGGCTACAAGCTTCGTTGTTACTGCCGGTAATGAATCTGTACTGGTATTTACAATTTCCCTTCAACGCTATCCATTCCAGTCCTCCTTACCTTCAACTGATCGGGATTCTTTACCTGGTGGGTTAACCACACGTTCACTCCTGAGGAGTCGGCCTTGGGGGCCCTGCCTGGGTGTACCTCTTCACCAACCTGTATCTCTGCCACAGAGTGATGGGGTGCTTGTGTCATATTCCACCTCGGTCGACTTCTGCTGATCTGACAAAAAAAAAATAAAAAAAAAAATAGGTATGATTTTGATTCATTCACACTGGATGACTATCGTTGTGTTGGATGTTGTCATTTTTTATTGGACAGTCTGAGGGAAAGGAAGTCAGGGCCCCTGACTAAATAGATGTTGCATGTTTTAAATGTCGCGGCACACTGGTTGAAAATGGCCAGTGTAGCCCAAACCAGTTTGGCTCAGTGGACTGAGCATCAGCCTATGATTGAAAGGTCCCAGGTTCGATTCCGGTCAAGGGCATGTACCTTGGTTGCGGGCACACCCCCAGTGGGGGTGTGTGCAGGAGGCAACTGATGATGTTTCTTTCTCATTGATGTTTCTGACTCTCTCTCCCTTCCTCTCTGTAAAAAAATCAATTATATATATATATATATATATATATATATATATATATATATATATATATATATTTTTTTTTTTTTTTTTTTTTTTTTTTTTTAAAGAAAAGAAAATGGCCAGTGTAGGGGAAGGAACTTTGCTTGGCCTATACATGCACATCTTGCAGGCAGAAATGACATGTGCAGAGGAAGCTGCCTGGGGTAAAGACAATGACACCAATTTTGGACTTAGATGAAAGCAGGGCGTTCCGCCAAAACCGGTTTGGCTCAGTGGATAGAGCGTTGGCCTGCGGACCGAAAGGTCCCTGGTTCGATTCCGGTCAGGGGCAAGTACGTTGGTTGCAGGCACATCCCGGTGGGGGGTGTGCAAGGGGCAGCTGATCGATGCTTCTCTCTCATTGATGTTTCTAACTCTCTATCCCTC